CACCTACTCAGACCTTCTCCCCATTATTTAATTGGATTTTGCTTTTCAGCTACCAGGCCGTGAGAATGGTTCACCTCTTTTAAATATGAACCTCTTGTCAGAGACATGGCTTGCAAATATTTTTTCACTGGGTAGGCTATCCTCCTGTTGATGATTTAAGGGATGACTTTTCGCGAGGGCAAGCATCACAGCATGTTTGCGTGGCGACGGGGCTGGCGAACAGAGGGGAGATGCGGTGATGGGAGGGCTGGGATCCAGCACACAGGGAGGTTGGCCTCAGAAGAGAAAAAAGGATCGATTGAATACAGATGAAGACGATCAGCTTGGCAATTGGATGAAGTGGAAATTTCTACTCCATATCTCCTAATTTCTAAGCTGAATATGGACAAGTCAAGCAGGAGGGAAGATGAAAGACATGGAGGCTTGGAGCAGCGCACAAATCGCCGTTCTGAGGATGGGACTGGCAAAACACAAGTCACAGAAATCCCGAGGCATCCCAGGGTGAGGCCGAGATCATAAACCCAGAGGGGCGCCCTGGGGACCAGCCTGTGTGGTTCTCTCTAGCAGCGCAGACACGCTTAAGTGCAGGCACACAGAACACAGGGGTTTATCCAAGGTTAGGGATTTCCCAGTCAAGGGCGGAAGCGGGAAGAGGGCGTGACTGCAGGATAGGCCATGGCTCTCAGGGCACGTGGGGAGTGGAGAAGGGAGAGCTACGCGGGGGCGAACCAAGGACCGGCCTGAAATCCTGAGTAGGAGAATGTGCCAGAGTCTGGCCCAAAGTAGGTGCTCAAGAAACGGGGCCTGAAGTCACAAGGGAGGCCGCAGGAGAGCTGCAGTACTGCAACCAAACGCCAGGGGGCAAGAACTGGCAAGCAACGAGCCCCACTGTGCCCCACCTAAATTTGGGGGGCTGTGTGGCGAGCGCGCTAGTGACCCTCCTGCCACCTCTAAGCTTCCCTAGGGTACCGGGGGCGGGGGCATGATGGTGCCCACCCAAGCTGGAGCCTGCTGGAGGTCCCGCCAGATGGCTGCTGGTGGGATGGTGGGCAAGAACCGAAGGAAGCACGAGCGCTAAGACGCAGCTAAGGGAGCCACCTCCCTGCACCCGCACTGCGCTCCTGGAGCAGGTCTGAGTGTCCGGCAGTGCCCATGCCCCAAGCAAGCAGTGGACACGCGCTAGGTGCTCCTGGGCGACCTGAGGGAGAGGGAGCTGGTCCCTGAGACGTGCCGGCTTTGGGGACCATCAAGCGGCCTCGGTAGACACAGGCTGGCTCCAACCTAGAACACCCAGAGCTCAGTCCCCAGGGCCCGGGTAGGGGCTGACGCAAGGGAGGGACCTGGGAGCCTGGTGGAGAGGAGCGCCCATCACCCCACGGAGCTTCCCTGGCAACTCCCTTCCAAGCAGCCCAGGCGGGGAAGATGATGTGACGCGGACCACACGGTCAGCCGGCCGCACCTCGCGCGCTCCTTCCCTCGGCCCGGCCCGGCCCGCCGCACAGCAGCAAAGGAACCCAACAGTTCCGAGCACGAGGGTGGACCGGGGAGAGGGAGTCGGGGCCCAAGTGGCAGCATCCGCATGGGGGACGGGACGGAGACACCTGTCCGTGGAAGGAGCGTCTCCGGGGCTGAGGTCTGCTCCCAGCTGGGGACGGAGGCTGCCTGCGGGAACGCCCCCGGCAAGGCGTCTGCTCTGCCCCGGAATCGATGGCTTAGAGGCCAGTGGGGAGAACAGGGGTGGGAGATTGAGTTGGGGGGCCATAGCTCACTCCCAGCTAGGGCTGGGGACTGGAAAGGGGGCCCAACAGGAGTCCAGAGGAGGAAGTGGGGGTACAGGTGGCTTCAAGGGGGCTGGGGTCCTGAGCGGTTGTCAGCCAAGCAGAAAGGACAACAGATGGCCCAACTGGCCCGGAGGAGAGGGGGCACGCACGAGGCGAGGAGGGCATGCCTGTGGTGTGTGCACCCCCTCGGGGCCCAAGCACCCCGTTTCTGCTCCTTCGATCTGAGGAGGGAGACACAGGGGTCCAAGTGGCAAGGGACAGACACAGACAGACCTTTGTTTGCTCACTCACTCACTGGTCTTCTGCTCTAGGAGGCCCCGGATGCAGCTGGAGCAGCCTCCTGTGCGTGAGGGCGACGAGGCTGAGGTAAGATCACCTGCCCAAGGCTGCAGGGCAAGTGGGTAGCAGACAGAAACCCCAAAGTCAGGTCCAATGTCTTATCTTCCTTGGCAGCACATCCCAGAGGGGAATTGGCGGGCACTGCGTGCAGGCAGGGGAGCAGAAGCGAGGACAAAGCGGACGGAACTGGGTGGGCCCCTTCCTTCCCAGGGCACCTGCTGTCCAGACACCAGTGTTTTCCTTGCCCACCAGTTGTCCCAGGTTCCAAGCGCACATTTCCCTGGGGGGGCTGGCTGTCACCTCAAGTCCCACGCCATGTTAGCTGAGCCACCGAAGCCACCACACCCACCCTCCCCATGGGGGGGGCCTAAGCTGTTTACACCAACATGTGACCTCACGACTGTAAGTCCTGCAGGTCATCTGTGCTCCGCTGACCTTCGCCTGCACGCCTTTGACATGGTTTGATTCTTCAGGGTTGTGGGTCTTGCTGCATCAACAAGGTGATGTGGTTAATTACCCTGTGACCTCCAGGTCAGGGCCTCCCTCTGGGCAGGAAATGTCCACGGCCCTGAGAGTTTCAGTCACCTGGCACAGGGCTGGAACTGTCCATGCCCCTCTCCCTGCAGGGTGCCCACCGTGCCTGCCCACAAGAGGTGTGCTGAGGCTCACAGGAGTCCCCACGGGGACACTGGCCAACTGGAGCAAGTACGTGGCACTTCCCACGTGGGCCCGCTCTCTCGCCACCAAGCAGGTCCTCCCCGGGTTGGCCAAGGCATCCACGCTCCCAGCCTGGAGTGGCCCTGCCTCAGCTTTCCTCGGCTGCTGCGTGGTTCCCTCCCTCCACCCATTCCACCTGCAGCCTCGCCGAGCTGGGGGCTGGACTCCAGCCCGGGCCTTCTGCCCTCCCGGGCCCGTGAAGCACTGCTGAGGCGGCCCCCGGCACACAGCTCATGAAGAGCAGTGGTTGCTCGGGGTGTGCATCACCGCGGGCAGCCACACCGCTCAGGCCCTTTGCCTAGACCCCGTCTCGTCGTCAGCCACCTTGCAGCCGGGGTGAGAGGTTGCTGCTGCCCCGATGGAGGCGCGCAGCGAGGTCAGGAAACTCTGTCGAGGAGCCTGCGTCCAAAGCAGGCGCCAGTGAGTAGTGGGGAACCCCGGTGTGTTCAGGACCTGTGGCAGGATCCTGCTTCTCTGGAAAAAACCAGTGACTGAGGCTGGAGGTGGTGGGAGCAAGGCCACCTGCAGCCCCCCAACCCAGACGTGCCTTGTGCCACTCTCCCCCACACTGAAGAGACCCAGAGTGGAGCTGAGGGGCGGAGGCAGGTGCTCAGGAGCCGTCTGCTGCACATGACGGGCTGGGAAGGAGGGTGATGGACAGAACATGGTTGAGCAGCTCCAGGTGTGGGGTCCATTTGGCGGCTCCCTGGGAAAATGTGGTCTGGGCGGCCGAGTCCCCAGAACGGCTGGCAGCAAATCAGCACAGAGCGCACGGGGACAGCCATCGCCAAGTCCGTCTGGAGCTGTGCTGGGAGGCTCAGCCCATTCATGGTTTTCAGGCCCACACCAGAGTGTCCTTGGTAAAACCCGAGAGGTGGGTGGAGCCCAGAGGGCCAAGAGCATGGTGATCTGTGGGCACAGGTCTCCTGGAGCAGGAGTCCCAAGCCCTGGTCCTCCTCCCGTCCATACAGCCCCCGACAGCCGCAACGTTCAAAGCAGGCAGCCCCAGCACCCGGTGTCAGTAGCATGGTTTTCATCACGGTGGCCAAGCTCCCTCTCCTGTCCCGGTTAAGGCAGGGAAAGGCTGCCCGCCATCCTCCCTGGCTCACAAGTTAAAGTAACACAGGCTCACTCAGGTCTGACTGTGCCGTCCCTGAAGAACACAAGCTACCCCTCTTTCTGCGGCTGCCACTGCCACCCACGGGCCCCGCCGGCCCTGCCCCTTCCAAAGCCTGAGAGCAGACAGAGAGCGCCCTTGGGCTATGCCATCAGGCTATGCCCTTTGAGCTGAACTAAGGTCTCAGCTCAAAGCAAGCGGATGGGATCTGGAAGGCCCAAAGCAGGAACTGGACTCGAGGATGCTTAAGAGGTCACAAGGAACGTACCACTATCATTGGCCTTTAGTCCAACAGAACAAACTCACGACAGGACCACCCTGTGCATGCCAGGTGGGCTTTCGGCTGCCGCCCCCACCCCTTCAACCAAGTCATTCCTATGGGGGAAAAGCAGGTCCTCAAATCTTCTGGCCACCTGGCTCTGGCACTGAACTGGGAGCTAAGCAGCTGGTTGAGGCAGAGCCTAACAGTACCAGACTCCCTCAGCCCAGGGCTCATGTCTGAAGTCCAGGGTCCGGGGCAGCACGCATCACCAAGGCTGATCAGACAAGCCCTGCCCAGGCACACTCTACTCCCGATTCACACAATCACCACCACCCCCCAACCGAAGACCTTTCTCACAGGCTCTTTCGGCTGTCCATTCTGGTTGCCCTCAGCCACGGGAACAGCCAGGTGGGAAAGGCACTGTCTCCTGTTTCCGGTGTGTAGATGAGCAGAGTCAGTCCAGTGACTGGCACCTGCCCTCCAGCATCCAGGCTCCACCACGAGGCAAGGGAGGAGGCACAAGCACTGTCTCCCCAAAGGGAGTCATCTAGGCCAACTGTTTTGGGACATGCTGCCCTCATGTCATGGAAGGAACCAGCTCCACAGGGGTCCTGGCACACACCATGTGGGAAGGCCACAGCCACTGCCTCTGCAAGTGTGGTGGGGGGCTGACCCAGAGGTTGAAGGGAGCTGGGCCCAGCTCCAGGGAATGAGTGCTTCCCTCAGGCCTGGTCTGCTCACCAGTCAGCTGAGTCAGGGCCATTTCTAGGTTCCAAAAGCCACTTGTAAGTTCAGAGTTGCAGCAAAAGACCAATTTTATTCAATGAAGCTGATTATTTTAGCGCTAAGCACCTCTCTGTTACAGAACTTATTTCAGGTTCCCACCACCAGAATGTCATTACCACTGGGTTTCCCCAACAAACAGGGCTTGACAATCAAGGCTAAATTTTTGTGGTTTAAGACAGAATCACTTCTTGGAAACCACATTGTAAAATAACTTCCCAGCCAAAAAAAAAAAAAAAGGGTGTTTTATGTTGATACCACTTTTCAGCTTGCCCACCCCCGGTAGAGGAGATGTGTGAGGCTGGGCAGGGCAGGTGGGAACAGCGGTTTAGGACACGAGACCACGGGTATACCAGAGATTGCAGGCTGCCCTCACAGCTCAACTTCTAAGAAACAGGCTATATTCTACTAACAATTGCAACAAGAACTTAATCAAGGAAGAAAAGTTAAGTACCTGCCCCCCGCCCCCAACCCTCACTCCAGGGGACTCTTAGTTTTTGAGGTCCCCTGGTCTTGCAGACCTTGGCAGCCTACTTCTCCCTCCATTCAAGGACCAGTGAAGCATTGCTGCTCATCCACGTCGGACGGCTCTCCTGGCGCAAAGAAGCTCTCCTGGTCTGGCAGAGGGTCAGCAGCTTCCTGGAAAGCCTCTGGTTCTGGAGAGCTTTGGGCTCTGCCCGCAGGGGCTTGTACCTGCTGGGAGAAGGGAGACAAGGTAGTGTCCCTTGGCCCATATCCTAGTGATGAGGGGCTCCTTCTGTTCAAGTCAGCAAAGAAGAACCTCTTTGGAACACAAGCCAATGAGGTACGAGGCGCTGACAGGAGAGAGACCTGGGGTAACTGGGGTAGAGCCTCACCTCTCTCTTCAACAGTCCCTAGGTTTGAAGATCAGGAGAAGCAGGACTAGGCTTTCTGGAAGTTGTCTTAATGCTAAGGTTGCAGATCCCACGTCTCACCCCCAACCCCTACCAGGCTGCACTGCTAGTCACGGTAACAAGTCAAGGCCCATGAAACTTCCCTGGCCCCCATCCTTGGACCTGCTATTACTCTGGTTGAACCGAGTAACTTGCAAGCTGAGTCTAAGCGGCAGCTCTGGCCCACTTTAATGATGATGGGAGAGGCCAGGGAGGGGGAAGACGGACAGACACAAAGATGGCAGCACATGACACAGCTGCTGGAGTCCTTTTTGCTTGAGAAAAAGGAAACCCTAGGACTGGGTCTGGAAGGTGAAGCAAGAGTGCAGCCAGTAACACTCCAGAGGGCAGAGAAGACAGAAGCGGTAAAGGAGCAGGGAGGAAACCTGGAGGCAGCTGGAGACCCCGGGTAGTGGAGAGGACCCCAGTCAGGGCGGAGAGAGCTGGGGTGCAGTGGACAGAGGGCCCATTCTCCTGCCCGTGGCTGCTCCACTGCACTCTCCAATCTATATCACCTTCCAGGGGCTCCCTTCTTGCGCCCCTGGAATGTCTGCTCAGTTTAGGCCTGGCTGTGTCTCAGGGCCCATCCCGAGGGTGAGTGCCTGGAGAGCAGGGGAGAGGAAGGGGCTCGCTAGCGTTGGCTTGGAAATTGAGTCCCCCCGAGCTCTCCAGATGGACAGTCTTGCTAAGTTTGCCTTTCCAGAGGGCTGGCAGCCCAGCTCGACAAGATTTGTGCCTTTAGTAGTTTAAGATGCCAAATTCCTTCATTCTGCCTTAGCTAGCTGTTTTATCCTTCTTGTTTGTTAAAAAACAAAACCAAAAAAAAAAAAAAAAAAAAACTAAAGAGCTTAGGCACAGTAAAATCTCTGATGCCAGAGTCAAAACACCCTTTGTGAGTGCTGCCAGACTGAAAGCATGTGGTCCCAGAGGGGCCTGCTGGGAGCAGACCCTGCTGTGCGAAGCCACCCCACTACTGCCTGGGAGACATGGCCACTGCAGGTGGTCCCTGAGGTAGGGTTGAAACTGAAAACACAGGCACCCCAAGGATGGACACCAAGGACATCCCACAGAAGGATGCTTGTCTTATTTCTGGCAGGAGGAAACACACATACTGGCCCTGGATTTTTGTAACAGAACCAAAGATGCGTAAGTTCAGGAAGGGGCTTGGGCCAGGACAGAGGGCTTGGCATTGGGCGTGACTCTCTCCCCAGGTCACATTATCTTCAGGATTCCTTATCAGGTTAACTTACTATCAACTGGTCCAGCTCACTTTGTCACTGCAGCCTACAGCTCTCCCCTCAGCACCAATCCTACCAGCGCATGAGTGACCGCCTTCAAACGTACTGAGCTTTGCAGTGTGGCTTGTCATCTGGGGCAGGTAATCCCCTTGTGCACACACACCTTTCAGGGAAGGGGCCCAACTGCCAGGTAGAATCCCATGACTTGTGCTGGGGGGCAGAGGGGCAGAGGAGTTGTACCTGGAGCTGGGTGGTTTGATCCTGCAGGGTGACCTGCTCGCAGGAAGGCCAAGGGCTCACCTGGTGAAGCTGAGGCTGTGGGTCTGCCAAGTGCTCCTGCGGGGTCTCCAGAGGAAAGGTGTTCGAGTCAGAACTTATGGGAGACTGAGGAAAGCTGGTGGAAGAAATGGTCCCGGGATGTGAGTGAGACACCATTGACAGCACCATCAGGAAGGACTCCTGCTGGGCCTCAGGAAGAGAGCTTTAAGAGAAGTCCCCTGAGTCCAAAAATGGTGGTCCAGGACACACTGTCTCACTTATCAACATCCATCTGTACCCTCACTGTGGTCTGGGGAAAGCCTCAATTTGCCACAGAAGAGCAAATGTAAACATTGAGAGGAATGGCAGTCACCTGTCTCGAGGGGTTTTACTTCTAGCACGTGGATAGTCTGGTCCTACCATGGTGGTGGTCACTTTGATCTCATGCAAGTCACCTTGCCTACGCCAAAGTCAGTGATGTGCCCTTCGTCATTAGTACTGAGTAGGACTGCAAGGTTAACTTCCTAGCTCCAAGTCCAGTGTTCTCGCTACAACCCCAAGTATGGAATTGTTGGGATAAACAGAGCTTTCTGGACTGCATTGTAGACTCTGAGACTGCACTTTCATCTTGATGCTTGCCAGTTGGAAGACATAACACTACCCACCCCTTCTGTCAGGGTCCTGATTCTAAAGGAAGGCTCAGAAGAAAGTCTGGAGAACCCTGGGAGGCCTACCTCGAGAGAGCTGGCATCCCTGAAAAATACACACTGGACCATACAACCCCTTCATTGCTGAGGGGAATCTTTCTGGCATTTGGGACCAAAGACTTCATCTCTAAACAAAAAAATTTGTCTGTGTCCTCACAGTGACTCCCAGCACTGAGACCTTCTGTAAGCCTGGCTCTGTGTGTCTGATGGCAATAGAGTAACCACCTCACACCCACCGATCTCCTAGCGTCACAACAACCATCAGTGCCATGGAGACCCCTTCAAGTGGTGTCCTGCCATCGGCGGACTTCAGGGATGCTGGGAGATTCCCTTTAAACACCCTGCACCATGGGCCTGGGCCTTGGTGGCTGAAGCCAAGCACTTGGAGCTCTGCTCACTGATTCCCCAGCTGCTCCTATTTTTACTAAGATCCTCTGGTCCAACAGTGAGGCCCGGTGTGGACCATGCATGGAGGGGTAGAGGAGCCAGTGGCCACAGAGCAAGTTGAGTGTGAACGTTGATAAGGAGTGCCCGCAGGCATGTCACCTATGGCTTCAGGCATGGTGTCCAGATACAAGCAGCACCATTCCATGCACGTCTTACCTGTGAGCCCCATCTTGATCTCCAAGGCTTTCATCTTGATAGCAGTCAGAAGGCGGTGGCTCAGCTACTAAGTTGACAGGCATAACCTTATGCTGGGTCTGCATGAATGGAATGGGATCATCACAGAGGGGCACAGGTATGCTGGTCTGCTTAGACATGCATATCTGCAGCATCTGGCCCTCCACACTGACAACATGCTGCTCTGCTAGCTGTTCCTCCTGCATCTGCTCTTCCTGCATGTGCTGCTCCTGCATCTGCTGCTGCTCTACCTGCTGTTCCGGCAGCTTCTCCTTATCCATGTCCTGCTCTGGCAGCTGCTCCTCTTCCACCTGTTGCTCCAGTAGCTTCTCCTCATCCACGTACTGCTCCTCCATCTGTTGCTCTGGTAGCTCCTCTTCCTCCATCTGTTGCTCCCGCAGGTTCTATTTTATCAAAGGAAAGAGATCAAAGTACCTCAGTGTCTGCAAGAGTCTTCCAGGGACTGATTGAACACGCTCACTTCATTCTCCCAAAACACAAGTTGACAGCAGTCCTGCCTTTCTGGGCATCATGGTCTGGGTGACTATCTCCTTGTTTGGCTGGCGACTCCTGGCTGGGAGTAGCTGCCATCCAGCACATATGAATGTGTGTAAGTACATACGTGTTCAGATCTAAGGAGCTGCAGATCTTGTACCTCAGGCACATAAATTGTAGCCTACCGGGCAGTCACCCTCCTCAAGGGAACCAGGTGATCCCCAGTCTTCATGAAAGTGAACCCCTTTCAGCCACACAATTGAAACAAACAGGCTTGCCATACCTCAAGCTCCTCAGAGATTTTGACAGAGTGGGATGAGGCACCACGGAAATGTTTGACCTCCCTGAGATCAGGGCGATTTGAACGAGACCTCTTCACTTGTTTCTTGGGCACTGGCTCCAAAGTCTGCAGCTCAGGACTCTCAGGGCGGCATGAAGCAGGCAGCTGAAAGGATGCAGTACACAAAAGCCTTATTCAGTGACCACTACTTTCCTTAGGGAGGGCACAAGACACACTGAGCATGGAGTAGAGTGCCCAGGCATGCCCACGGGAAGCCACATGTCACTGCAGGGCCTGGTTGGGCCCATCTCAGTTCCTACAGCCAAGGAAAAAACACAAGATCAAGCCCCAAGTTCCCTGGCTAGAGATCAGTCCAGACGTCCCCCGCTGCTCAGAAGGAGCAGCCGTCACTACTAGGAGATCCTCCTGACTAGCTCTTTGACGACTGCCAAGCTGCCTTTCTCCTCTCCCTTCTGCCACTTACATGGACCTGATATCTAACCTGGTACTTGTGCCCCTGCATGGCCTGAAGCTGCTGCTTCATCGCTTCCAGTGCACTCCGTTGGCTGGTGAGGTCAGCCTGCAGCCGGCGAGTCCTCTCATCCAGCTGCTTTGTGAACTTCTTCATCAGTTCCAGCTCATGTCTGCTGATGTGTGGTGCGACTGGTGAAGATGGCTGTAATGGCTGTGGGGAGGAATCGCTCATGGTTCACATAAGGGGACACCAACTTCTCCAAATCCTACCATGATGCTTTATTTCAAAGGTTTGAAAGTCTGAAAATGCAGAGTGGCACTCCAATCCCGATTTCCAGATTTCCTTCACTGCTAGAAAGTCTGAAGAAATGTTCTTGGGGGCCTCCCTGGTGGTGCAAGGGGTTAAGCACCGCACTATGAAGCAATCTGCAGCCTCTGCAGCACGAGATCGATCCCCAGCCGGCCAGGGCGCTACCCACATGGAGCAGCAGACCTCTCCTGTCTCCCCGCTGCTCCCCTCAGCAGTGTATTTTGGTCCGTCTGCCTGTTCTGTTCCCCACTGTGTCCCTGGTGAATACTCTCACTCCCCGCTTCTCTGGCCTGCACCCCAGCTCTTGTATGCATAAATAAATAAATCTTTTTTTAAAAAAAAATGCTCTGTAGAGAATCCAGGAATTCTAAATGAGAAATGGATCATGGGGATCATTCTTCCATCTGATTGCTGGTTACTTTGACTATTTTAAACAAAAGTTATATTTAAGCTTTAACTATAAATTAATTCAAAGAAGAGAAAGCTATCAAGGGTGACAGCCTTTAACGTTTTAGCACAATAAAGACACGTTAAGGACAAAATGGATTTCTATAGAAATTTTCTTTTAGTTTAAAGTATTTTCCTAGCACTCCAAAAACCCATGCAAGGCAAACAGACTATTTTAAGACAGAGAAACTGAGAATCAATGACGTGCCAAGGTCACACTGCTGGGGCAATCCTCAAATATTGGGCTTCTGTGCTCAGTTCTCCCCACTGCATGGGGACACCCTGTCACTGGGAATGGAGTAACAACTCAGGCTTGGTGATTATTACACAGTTCCACATAACAGACTACAAATTTGTTATCTAGGCTGCCAATCTGATTTTAATAATCCTGTCTAATATAAAAGATGACTATCCAAATCTGTGGTTACATACCCAGATTTAGGGGTAGGAAAACCACAGAGTAGTTAGTCCAAAAGTTTTGATTTGGCTTCAGACCACGCATTGGTGCTGACACTTGAAGGCTGGATATATCTAACGTTCTGAAAGGTATGCTTTAACCCAATAAAAATTCCACTGGGAAAATCCAGCTGGCAGGCGTGGGGAGTGTTGCTTATAGGAAAATTGTCTTTCCGTGAGATAGACAGCATCTCCTCACAGGTGATAAGAAGCACGGATCTTAAAAACACTGCCTTTTCTTAGTAGTTAAGCTTCTCACTTGGCTCAAACTCTCTCAAGCACCAAGTGTCTGTGTATTTCATATTAAGAGAGGTAATAAGGATTCGGTCTTAGGGAACCTCCAACCTCCCTTTTTCCTAAGGCCCAATGAATTCTTATTAGCTTCATCTGAAAATCCAGTACAAGACAAATGGTGATAGTTTTAAAAAGACAAACAAAAAGAGCATGTTTTCCATAAAGTAAACCTTGAAACGAGAGTGGAAATGTAGAGCTTTGCAAGTTAGTGGTCCAGACAAGTATGTGAAGCAAGATTCCCAGGTGTACCTGAGGACTGATGTCAACAGCCACACTGGAGGATAATAGGGTCTCCTCTTCCACCTGGTCCACCTGTCTCTCATTAACCTGTTCTTCCTCTTCCTCCCTTCCTACCTGCTTTGCTTCTTCCTCCTTATCCACCGGGCCCACCTCTTCTCCCTGATCTAGCTCGTCTTCCTGGTCTGTTTCTTCCCCCTGACCTGCCCCTCCACCCTGGCCTGCCTCTACTTCCTGAACCACCTGCTCCATTTTCTCCATCTGCTCTGTATCTTCCATTTCACGCATCTGGTCCAAATCTTCCTTCTGTCCCACCTCTTCTGTCTCATTCACCTCATCCATCTGTTCCATCTCAGGTTCCAACTGAAAGCTCTGCAAAGATGATGTAGCTGAGAAAGAAAGCACAGTGGAATTCATGATTAAAAAAAGTGAAAGTACCAACATTATCGAAGAGATTATGTAGATTTCTTTTCTTATTTTCTTTCATAAGTCCTATAAATAGAAGAATAAAGTTTTATTTCACCTAAAGGAAGCCGTGCCAGGTACCAGGAATAATTCAGAACATTAATTTAAAAAGTTTTAAAAAGTTCTTCGTATTTGAAAATGAAGGTAGTGTGTGGTTTTCTTTTTAACCGCCACCCAGGTAAGCATAAACTGATACCCCAAATCACAAATCATTACAAAATTCCTTTGACTCTACTTTTGGAAATTCGGTGCCATGCAACTGACAAAGCCCTTTTAAGCCAAATCAGAGGAGTCATTTCTTAAAAATTAGGTACCCCAAAGCATGGGATTCTCAGAAATACTCAAGGTGCTCGAGGTGTTTGTGACACGATTCTCCTTCAATGGCTCTGAAAAGCACAGCAGCGGACACTATTTGAATAATGCAAACTGGCAGTGTTTTGGCGAATGCTTTTGCACTTTCTTTCACACACACATTTCCCGTCTTATCCAGGTCCCACTCCCAGGAATTGACCCAAGTGAGTTAAAAACTTATATTCACACCCAAAAAACCTCTTGGAAAAAAAAGTTTAGGATAGCTTTATCTACAATCACCAAAAACTTGGAAATAACCCAGATGTCCTTCTACAAATGAGTAGATTTTTTAAAAAAACACTGTGGTCCATTCACCAGAGGCAGTACGATTTAGGCGAAAAGAAAGAAAGGAAAAAAAAAAAAGGAATGAACCACTGATTCATGCAACATGAATGAATCCTAAAAACATTTTACTAATGAAGCCAGACTAAAAGGGCTAGATCATGTGTGATTCTGTTTGCATGATTCTGGAAAAGGGAACCCCGCAGAGATGGGTTGCAGGGCAACGGCGGCTGGAGGACGGGGGCACAGCTGAACAGAAAGAGATGACTCTAAGCAATGTGAGGGGTGGGGAGGGGGAGCTGTGCCGCTGGTATTGTGGGGGTAGATACATGACTTCGTCTGTGTCAAACCCATTATTCCTAATAATTAGTCATCATAAATACCAATAATTCCAATAAAAACGGTAATATCTAAAGAGTGAATTTTACTGTGTGCAAATTTAAAACTAAATTGCTCTTACACATTTCAGAAATCACAATCAGGATTTCATGGATTTTGACCCCCCCAAGTGCCCCATCAAATGTTTTGAAAGGATTTTTTAAAACAAAGCTTTGAGACGGATAGTAATAATGGAAGTGTTGCTATCTTAAGAGTATTTTAAAAAGTTGTTTGACCAATATATGAGGATTCCACAATACAAGTTATCTAAAATACGAAAAAATCAGATAATTGGAGCTCATGGTCTGCACACTACTTTGTATTTTTTATATGATATTCATGAAATATCTCAACCATTGAAGCTTATATAATGAACTAGCTCTGTTTTTGAGAGATTACCCAGTACAGCTTTGAAAACAAGAGGTTTCTTTGGGCTGTACCTATTACGCAATAGCAGAAAAGACTGCTTGAGTATGAAAAGATAAAAGGATTACTCCTCCTAAGACTGAACTACAGCACCCATCTTTAAAAGGGTAAAATTAAATGGGCTAGAATAGTGTGGTTCCCAAGCACTGAGCTATTGATGAGATACTCATTTTCATTGCTCTTAAATCATCATCTTAAAAAATTTACACGGGCCTCCCCGGTGGCGCAGCGGTTGAGCGCTGGGTTGCGAAGCTGCCCGCAGCCTCTGCAGCACCGGTTTGATCCCCGGCTGCTCCCCGGCCACCGGAGGAGGGTCCCACATGGCGCGCAGACCCCTCCTGCCGCCCGCTGCTCCCCCCCCAGCAGTGTACTTCGGTCCCTCTGCCTGCTCTGCTCCCCGCTCTGGCTCTGGTGAATTCTCTCACCCTCCTGCACTTCTGACTGTACCCAGTGCTTGTATAAATAAATAAATATTTAAAAAAAATTTACACAAGATGAACAAAGTTAGAATTCACGCTTGCAATCTTGCACGACTATAAATAGAAACCGCTTGCAATCTTGCACCATTATAAATAGAACATTTAATTTGAGAAACTATAATTAACCTTTTTTTTCCCTAACCTTTAGTCCCTATCCAAATAACCAAATGCACCTACCTGGCGATTCAGGTATGGTGTTCAGAGATGTGCTGGAGTCAGTAGGTGAATCAGAATCTATTGAAATTACATTAGAAGAATCTTGAGGTGCATACTGAGCAGCAGTTACAGTATCGATTTGATCCTAGGAATTTCCAAAAGAGGAAAAGATAACATTTCAATTTGGAGACAAGTCGATATATGAACAAGAGGAAACATGGGCAGAACACAAACTCTGAGGGACCAGCATTGGTTAAATCAACTGAATGCTTAACACAAAAACATTGTGAAACATGTCCTTGAAAAAACACTGTTGGCTGAGCACAGATCACGGGGGCCACATGCTATACACTGGCACTATCAAACAACAAACACAGTGTAGACATGCTAAGTACACAAGCAGAAGAAAACTGTGTGCAGATTAAAGTGGCGGTAAATATAAAAATGTAGATATCCCTTTCAGAGGTGCTGGGAGGTCACGGGTAGAGCAGCCAAGGATGGCGAGGCTCTCCTTTTCCATTCTTCCTTAGGAGACCCGCTGACTCCCAGGGGAAGAAGGCTGTGGAGAACCATAACCCTGCTGGGGGGACATGTTCGCAGAGGCCCTGCACTCAGCAGCCGAGGCGCAGAGCAAGGAAAAGTCAACAGGGGCTGCTTAAGCGCTCTGTGGTTTTGGTTTTATCTGTTTTCTGAGTCTGGGAGAAAGTGATGATGAACATTTATTGATTTGAACTAAGAATTCATTTAATACTTTTATTCTAATACCAAGAGCAGTAAATCCAAGAAAACTTGTATTTTATTTTAAACAATAACATCAGTTATTATATGACGCACCTAAGTAAGAAGAGTGAATTTTAATGTCATCTTCAAACAATAACGGACAAGAGACATTTGGCTTCCTTTACAGTAGACTGTCACCAGGTAATGACATTTTTTTCTTTTTTGAGGCAATGAAAATGGCATATTTTGTAACAGTTAAGAATGCACAGTTATTTAATAAATTTAAATTTTGCTGAGATTAGTTTACAAATTATAAATTTCTCTATTCTTCACTTTCTTTGCAAAGTTTAGTTCTAGATTTTATCTGAGATGACTGTATAAGATGTCAGAAAGAAACAGGATGTACACAGTGAAAACTGGAAAAGAACAAGTCAAAACATTTTTTTAATGATTTTTTACTATGTAATCTAGTCCCCCTCCACTAGAATGTAAGTATCTTGACAGAAGGGACTGAATCACTTCTCTCTGTATTCCCATTCCCAACTCCTGCCATAGTGCTTCAAATCATAAGTGCTTCCATTTTAAGAATGGGTGACTCCCTGAATAAACGAGGTATAATAAGCAAAGGTATATCCTAAGAGGTGATACTAAGCTTGTATTTCACTCCTGGAAAATCATCTGCAGGAATCAAAGTGACTTTTCTCTCCACACATCCAATCTCCCTCCCTTTTCCCAAGCCTTGTTTTTCCCAAGGCAAGGCTCCTAAAGGCACTTAAATAGCATTTTATGAGAGAGAAAGAGACAAGGAGAAAAGAATTTTGTTTTAAAGGATCAGGGCCACTGAGGCGGATCCCGCCACCTTCCCATTGTGGCAAGTGAGGCTGCTGTGCCCCAAGCAGCCCAGCGAGTCTGTCACGGGACAATGAGCTGGGGTGGGAAAGGAAGAAAGGAAAGGTGAAGAACACCAGACAAAGGTCTCGCATGTATTCATACATTGACTTTCAGTCCACCAGTTTTCCTAATATTATGTGAAAAAGTGAGGAGATTCTCTTGACTTTAAAGAAAAGGCAACGCTTGAAAAATCAATGTAATTTACATCAACAAAGGAAATAAATTATACTATGATATCAATAAATGCAGATGAAGAATTTGGTAAGACTGAACATCCGTTTATGATAAAACCCTTAAAAAACTAGATGGAACATGCCTCAACATAATAAAGGCCATTTATAACAACATAAATCATACCCAATGTTAAAAGAGTGAAAGTTTTCCTTTAAGATCTGGTACAAGACACTCTCCCCACTACTATTCAACAGAGTATTGGAAGTCCTACCGACAGCAGTTAGGCAAGAGAAAAAAAATCCAAAGGAATCCAAATTGGAAAGGAAGAAGCAAAACTATCATTATTTGCAGATGATATAGTATAGACAGCAAACCCTAAAGATTCCACTAAACTATCAGAAACAATAAAACAGCCTAGAAAAGTGGCAGGGCACAAAATCAATTTACAGACATCAGTTGCATTTCTATAAGCAAACAATGAGCTAGAAGAGAAAGAAATCAAGAAAACAATCCCAGTCTCTTATTGAAGTTTTCTAAATTCCTGCTATGAGTGAGACCATCCGGAATTTCAATACAAAGTAAAAATCAAAATCAACAAGCAACTATAAACCAGAGACACACTATGGGGGCGGGGGGAGGGGTGGGGAGCGGAAGGACTAGAGTCAAAATAAGGGGGGGGTGCAATTGTATGGGGAATATAACCATAATGAAAATGCATACATTGTGCAAAGATGAAAAAATGATTTAAGAATTACATAAAATAAAATATTTTAAAAAAAGAAAACAATCCCATTCACAACCACCGCGAAAAGAATTAAATACCCAGGAGTAAATTTAACAAAGGAGGTGAAGGACCTATATAGTTGTCACTTTTTTTTTTTGGCCAGGGGTGGGGCAACTGGGGAGACTAGGTCAGGACATAAAGCCAGGGTGATTCTCTTCTACAAAGAACCAACTGGAGCACACTCACCCAGCTCAAATCCCAGTACTTGAACTTTAGGAAATTATACAACTACACTGTGTAAGTGCACTATTCTGTATTCCTTAAAATAAGCATTATGCCGTTGAAAATGCCTCAATCTTTTCATTATTTAGAAAAACACTGTTGGGGTCCCAGTCACTGAACTGGGGTTTGACCTCTCTCATTCCCCCTCCTCCTGCTCTTTATCACGACCATTACCAATTTAATCACTGGCATCCTGCTCCCTGGATGATTTTCAATAGAAATGTATATACTTGGATGTTGATTAAGGTGCCCATTTTTGTGTGTTCCTATGTTTTACTTTATCAATATAAATGCACTGAGCTTAAAACTGTCAGAATTATCTGTCATAATGGTAATTGGTCTGGAAAGAAACAAAACAAAGAAACAATTTTGAAGCAAAAAGATACCAGTTTGAAATGCAATTAGGACTAAGGCCTGAAGACAAGTCTTTTAGGAGAGGCAGCTAGAAGCTAAAAAGAAAGAGGAGACAAGAAGGCAATTAACATGCTTTTACAATTTTAAGAGGACTTTGGATTCACTCCTATTCCCTAAATGTCTTCATAAAAAGTATTTAAAGAGAGAAGCACTAGTTTTTGGTTTAGATATAGTGTAAGCTTCAAAAGCAGGCTCTAATACCTGACAGTTATGTGAACTAAAAATGAGTGTATATTGCAGGGGTGGCAATCAAGAAGTATGGCCCCCAAATTATCACATTTTTCCCATGATTAGCTTAATGTAAAAAATGCTCTGCCTAATTTTTAAGAGGTCCTTGGTACTTTGCTTTTTGAAAGAGTACTATATGTAAAGATGACAGATTGACTGGATATGGAGGAAATGCTAGATAGAAGAGTAGAGTTTTAAAAAAAATACACTGCATTTAAAAATCATCTCTAGATCCCACCCTTGCGCCACCTACCACCTGTTACTGTGATTCCCTTGAGAGCGAAATTTCTCAAAAGGGAAGTACTCGAATATCACCAATTCGACTGGCCTCTCTTAAGCCTACTCAATTAGACATGTCTCCTGGAACCCCTCTGTGCTCTTACAAAACTTTTCTCAACAAATTCAGCAATGGCTTCCAGGTCCTAAACAGAATGCTCATTTCTGAGCTGCCAGCCTACCTAATCTAACAGCGCTTGACACTGTTCATCATTTCCTCACTTTCTCCACTCGGCGCATCTCTTAGCTCACTTGCTAGTCTCCTTATTGATCATCTGCTGATTCTTTTCCTTCTCTCTAATCGCTTAGATTTGAGGGTTCTCCAAGTTTAGTCCCTGGTCCTTCTACCTTCTATACATAGTCCCTTGGTAATGTCTTCTAAATTTATGCTTTAAGACCATCAAGACTGATGATTCCCAAATTCTTATCATCAGTTCAGCTTTGCATTGCCAATGGACTAACAGGCATTTCAAATATAGCATTTTCAAAACTGACACCTAAGTATTACACCCTGGCAAGCACCCTTAAGCTTATGACTTCTTTCACCATTTTCTCCACGTCAGTTAATGCAACACCATCCTTCCAGATCAAGCACCTCCAAGTCATCCCTAACTCCCCCTTTTGTACACATCTCATCCAAAGTCAACAAATCCAAGGGCTCTTCCTTCAAAATATATCTAAAATCCAACCAACTTCTCACAACTTCCTCTCTTATCTGGTCCAAGTCATCATCTCTCATCTCTCCATAGTCTATTCTCAACACAGTCACTCTTATAATAAACCACTAACTGGCAAACTTTAAGTAGGTTATTTAAAATCAAGAATCCAAGATTTACTATCTCTGAAAAACTGGAATGGTGATGCCTCAGAGGATTGCTGTAGGTCAGATTAAGCATCTAGCCCAATGTTTGACACATTAGAAGTCATCAATGCACTTCAGTTATTATTTTCTATCATACCGCTGTGTCAACCCTTACCCACAATGTGGAGCACTGTGCTGTTACTGAAGTTACTGGGGCCGTACAAAGACGGAACTTAGTGGTAAGTGAAAAGCAATGGTAAGCGATCATTGTCATTAAGTGACAAATACACATATTGATAAACTAAGGCTAAGTGAGAATAAGCAAATTAGACAGCAATTGTGCCACGGTGGTTAATTATGGTTTTCTTATATAAAAAAACAACAACTTTCTTTTCAATGCTATATTTACCTACTAGGTTTTCTAAGTTTTATAAAATGATAATTTTTAAGGGCCTCCCCGGTGGCGCAGCGGTAGAGCGCTGGGTTGCGAAGCTGCCCGCGACCTCTGCGGCTCCGGTTTGATCCCCGGCTGCTCCCCGGGCACCGGAGGAGGGTCCCACATGGCGCGCAGACCTCTCCTGCCGCCCGCCGCTCCCCTCAGCAGTGTACTTCGGTCCTTCTGCCTGCTCTGTTCCCCGCTCTGGCTCTGGTGAATTCTCTCACCCTCCCGCGCTTCTGACTGTACCCAGTGCATGTATAAACAAAACAAACAAACAAACAAATAAATAAAAACATGCCTCTATTAAAAAAAATGATAATTTTTAAATCCAGATTTCCTCAAAATACTAAGTTGAAGGACCGTACTCTTTACACAGCGCACACTGCAGTTGACTCACGACTGAAGAAGTAAGGCTGTCAGTTGTGTACCTGTTAGATGATGGTCAGAACTAGATGGGTGCCTCAGCCTGGTAGCATAACTACAAATTGCTTTTCATTTGAAAAGAACATTGCTCTGCTTAAATTAGCCTTCTATGTAATTTCCTCCCTGTTTCATACTCTCTGGAACAGAATGTCAGGTTAAGCAAAGGAACATCTTCAGAAGGGAGAAAATTTTATCTACATAGCAGTAACTTTTTCAATTACCAATAGTTGGAAAATACAATAGAAAATCACTTCATATTTACCCTATGAGCTCATAGTATCTCTTCCTTACAGAAAAACTTAAAATACTAAAAATATCTGCTGTTTGCACAGCCCCAGGAATTCGCAAATGCTTCCTGGCAAAATCATGTGTGCATCTAGTATTTATGAGTACCTACTATGTGCAGCAAGCCTTGTTCAAGGTATCTGGGGATATGCTAATGAACAAGACAACCCCTACTCTCACACAAGCTTCGTTCTACTGCAGGAATACAGACAATATACTTAAAAATGAAATTCCTCTGAGCATTATTACTATCCACACAAGGAAGCCTTTTCAGAGATCACTACTACTGCCGTATTGCAGGTGAGGAAACGGAGGCTCTCCGTGGCAAAACGACTGTCCTCAGGCCACGTAACTGGTAAGTGGCACATCTGGAACCAAACACTTCTCTTCTGGTATTGAGGCCATCTTCTCTCTGCAAGCACTGTCAGCAATGCAGTGAGCAGCCTAACAGCCTTGTTACATGAGCCCATGGAGTGGCAAGTACGGGGAAAAATCATTCACTGGGAAAACAAGACTTTCTGCAATGATTTTCTGTTCTTCTATAGCGTTTCTCCTGTAGTGAGATCTTATCTCACAGACTAGAGGTGCAGAACTTTGAGGGGAAACCCAGGTTTCATAGTTCTAATTCTGTATATACATCCTTGGAGGGTTCTCTCTAGTAACCTCTGGAGAAGGGCTATATGGGTGATGCCTATGGCTTAGCAAAAGGATGGCGACAATCCAGGCTCATCAGGGACTGGGTTCTGCCTGTGATGGCATGAAGCAGTCTCATGTGTCTACTCACAGTCTACTGAGCCAGGGAGGTAAATAAGCCTTCACTTTAAAATGTCTTACAAGACCAAAAGACTTTAAACAACAATCTCTCTCACAGAGCTTAGCTTAATTCTTTACAAAGGTTCAAAAGGACCATTTCAAATATGGCAGTTACTGGATGACAACAAAATGGCAACTGTGGCACACCCCTTAAACGTTCTGCTCATACGAGATACTTCTTGAAATTAAAGCTCGTGTACATTGGCAATGCCCACTAACTACCCAAAGAGTACAAAAACACTAATTTGCAGGGCTCTATGGACTCCTGTATTCATCTCAGCACTATTTACAACAACTAAGCTATGGAAATAACCTAAGTGCCCACAGACAGAGGAGTGGTTCAGAAAAATGCGATGTATGTGCGTGTGCACACGTACGTACACACAGTCTCTCTTTCTCTCTCCCTCCCTCTCTCTCTGGAATTACTACTCAGCTATAAGAAAAGATAAAATCCTGCCCTTTTTCAACAGCATGGATGGAACTGAAGAGGATAATGCTAAGGGAAATAAATCAGGCAAATATAAATAAATAAAGAATGGTCTCAATGTAGAATACAGAGAAACATAATGAAGGGTCATTCAAAACCAAACCAATGATAAACTCTCAACACCTGACAGCAACACTGAGGCAACCAGAGGGGGAAAGTGGTGAGTGTAAGTGGGAGGCAGTGGTAGGCAGGGTGTGAAAAGATGTATTTGTAGAGGTTTGAGAACCTGTAAGTCCTAAGCAGAGACAAAGATGTACCCCTACTGCACCACGATAAACACAATTTGGAAAAAGAATCATCACCCCACCAGGAAGAAGAATCTAAGTTTAGTCTATGGCTCTACTGTACGTACATCTTCTGCAGAAGCTTCACGTTCAGAGCAAACAGCTTTCATTCTAGAACTTCTTCTTTGGCCTTGAAGACATCTATAAATAGGTAAAAAGAGAGTTAAGCACATTTCACTTGCCATCTAACCCTAAATTTTCTATTATACAGTAATAATAAGGTTTGAATAAGAAAAATGGTATTTTTCTTAATATATAACATTGTTAATCTTGGAGGTGTCATTTTTCCTACAGAGTTCTCCTGCATGATCTGCATGATGTCTATGGAGGCCATCACCCAGACCCTCATTAGAATGAAGTCTGCTGCAGGTAGCAATACCTCTTTTTGACATTGGCGAGCAAAACAATCTCAAAAAAGTCACAGCATACAACGAATGTTCTTAATTTTTAAACCAACTGCAGCTACAAAAAATGCCTTCAAGTCAAATTTAATTTTGTTTCCTGTAATTAGAGAAAGTCTCCATTCTCTAGCTCATTAACAATGGATTCTATCAAAATTATAATTTTGCTCCAATGCCCAAGGGGAGACTGCAGCTCTGTGGCATGGGCTCTGGATGTCCGCCTGCCTGCACCATGTGAGTGGTAGATGTGGACAGGACAGAATATGAATGAATCTTGTTTTTAATAATGAAACTGCTGTTAAGCCTTAAAATGTTCGTGACTGAGACTCTGCTGTGGAAGTGTATTATTTTCCATTTTTCTCTTGCCGCTCACAAAATGAAAACGGCAATCTGATAACAGATAGGATAACAAGCAAGACCTTAGGGTAGTAACACAGTGACAAAATGCTGTGAAATCCTAACTCATTCAGAAGGCTGGACTAACTGGATTAATCTGCTTGGTTTCAGAAAGTGAATACTCATTTAAAGGGAAAAAAAATTTCCATCCTCTATTTCACAAATCCCAACCAAAAAATCCATTTTACTCACATCATTTATTTTCAATGGCAGAAAATTAGGAAAAATTTGGGGAGAAAATATCCAGGATTATCAAAGTACATAAATATTTGTATAGAGGAAGTTTTAATTATTTAAGAAAACATAATATTGAGGAAGTGTTAATTTAATTAGCATCAATAACTAGTTAATGAGTTACTTCAGTCATTTGTGTGTGATGGGGTGCTGTCTAGTAGTCCTTACTAGTTTGACTTTTAGCATCAAGTAACCTGGACATAAACAGTGTCACTCGTGAATCTGCCCCACATCAGCTAAAAATCAAATCCTTAAAAGATTATCATCTGTATTTTTTTTTTAGCTCAGATAACACTGATTCACAACACTGTATATAATTGAGAGGTTTAGAATCCTACCTCTTCAGATATATGTTCCCACCCCACTCCACACCCACCAGGGCACCCAGACTCCTCCACCATAGTCCATTGCTTAATTTTTTCAGTCTGACTAAATGTATAAGCCAGTTTAGTCTAACAGAGTAAGTGCTGGTAATTCACTTTATGACCTTTAGATCTTCTCCCTTGCAGGCTAAGAATGACTGACATCGATCTCCAGAACCCCGTGTGCACCATCGCCTTTAGGACAAGCAATCTGAGTGTCTAACAGACACCCCGACTTGATGAGGCCTAATGAGATGCCTACACCTCTCCCCTCTACTGTCTCTGACCTTGGAAAATAGTGCCATCCCCACACCCGGTCCACAGGACTGACAGCAGCAAGGCATCTTTGACTCTTCCGTTTCCCAGATCTTACTTTTTTTCTGACCCCCTTTTTTACCCAGTGAATTTCCCCAACACACATGCTTGGAACCTCTGGCATCCCCAGCACCTGGCACAATCAGAGCACTTATCAGGTACTTCATGAACTTCAGCCAAGTGAATAAAGGAATAAACTAACTGGTCAACTCAATTAAAATATCTGCACATCTGTCACCCCAGCCCTACTGAGTTTGACACAATTATTGTGAGGGACATGTTGAGGATTCTATGCATTCCTTGAAATCAAATAAATGTCTCCATATTACCTTCTAAATAGTAAAAATACCTACGGTAAACAGCATGGGAATGAACGGACTGCACGGTCTAAGAGATTGGCTATTAGCCATATGTGGCTAAATTAAAATCAAAATTAAATAAAATTTTGTCAGTCACAGTGGCCACATTTCAAGTGCTCAGTAGCTATGCATGGCTAGAGGGTACTGCATCAAAGCAGATTAAAAAGCATTCCTGGCACCAGAGAACGCTCTGCCGGAGAGTACTATACCAAAGGATATCATCAGTCTTACTGGAGGAGACACTGACTTTGACAAGAAAACATCGTAAGGCATTTATGTTTTGCTTTAAACCCACTAGCTTGGATACCAAGAATGTAAAATATGAAGGAGAGCAAAGTTTTCTAAGGAATTTACATATCATACTTTTCTGTAAGTTAACCTAGATGGCAGATATTACAATCAGAATGTAAAAGTACAAACACATACACTACGAAAGAAAAGCATTAAGGAGTATTTCACACCTGAACAAGCTTGCATATGTACAGAATTCAGGCTCAGGATATGAGGATATGTGGTGTGACAGAGGATTTGCCACCTTGTGCATGGCTGTCTTTGCTTAGCAACCGATGAAAACAGAAGTTTCCTTCTTCAAATTTTATCAGTTTATTTTCAGAAAGAAAGAAAATGACCAAGAACACTTTGCTAGATGTACTTACATGAAAAAAAAAAAACACTTTCTAATTTTACAAAAATAAGTATCTCAGTCTCATTACGTCAAATCTCAAAAGGTTACTCTCAAATTGTGCCCTTACATTTCTCCTACTCTCCCATGAACACTAAGTCTTCACGAAGGGCTGATCCTCACTGGGAAAGTACTCAGCACCGTGAATTACTTTAATGGAAGTTTGTCCGTGGCTCCTAAATACATCACTGCTACTTGCTGTCACTTGCTATCTAAATGAGACTGAATATGAAGATGTCCTGTCCTTCCTATGTCCATGCAATATAGACTAAGGTATATTTTGAACAGTGGAGCAGTCAGAAAACTGATGACAGTAAAAATCTAATTCCAATGTCTCCTTAATTTACAGCTGAGATGACCTAATCTGAAGCAACACAAGAAAGGAAAACCAGATTTCTTTTCTTGGCTGCAGGTTACAACCAAAGTTTAAGGCACTAATTTTCAAGATGACTCCAGCCAACGCCAGTCCACAGGTTCAGAGGAAACCCACCACCATCCCCTCATGCAAATGTGAAATTCTGAACCAAATTCCAGGCATCATCGTTTCCTTCAGGCCCAACTGCCTCTCAGATGCCGCCGACAATGACAGGTGCACGAAAAGCTCCAGGCCCCGCCCTCCCACAAGAGTCACAGTTGTTTCCTAGGGATTGTGCCTCACTCTCCTATCTTCCTCAGCCCCCATCATTATGTCCAACATTCCAGAGTGGCTATGGCAGGTGGACAGAAGCTGGGGTCACACACAAACTTAGGCTAAAACCTCAGCCCTGACACTTTCTAAACGTGGGAACTAGAACAGTCTTTCAGCTTCCCCGAAAGCCAGTTTCTGAGTGTTTAAAGTGATTCATAACACACACCTTGAAAAGATACAATCATGTTTAGAAAAAGCGCTTTTCCAAAGCATCCCAGCCAACGCGATCATCTCAAAGGCCCTCAGCCATTCTTACCCTTGATCCTGCCATCCACCTAGGTTTCCTCTCCACTCCACTGTCTTGGATGTGTAATACTGTATTTTGCTTTAAAAATGGTTCTTCCGCAATTTTAATTTTCTCTCCTAGAACTCAAAGATGAGTTCCGCAGGTGCTATCACTCTCCTATCCCCTCAGAGCCAAGACGACTCTCCAGTATTAAGATAAGCAGACTGGGATCGAGGCACATGGCGAGAGATCACCAAGGCCAACATGCTCCTTCTGGCAAGTGGGGGTAGGGAGAGGGAAAGGGGTGCATGTGGCCAACGGGCTTCGCATGCAGTGCACGTGTCCTGTCTTCTGAATATGTGGCAGGACCTTCTGTCTCAATATAAGAACCTTTTAGTACATTAATTTCCAAAAAAGTCTTCTTACTCCGTCCATTTCATAGAAAACATTACTTTCTAAAGGGCCAGTGTAAATTTCTCTAATGTGCTTTCTTTGGTTACACCAGTTTTACACACACACATCAAAAGAAGAAAAAATATCTTAACAGTGCTCAGTGGTATTTCCTCACCCAAAAGGAAAAACAATGGATGCACAATATTCACAGCACATAGAAAGTACACACAATTATCATAAAAACCCTAGTCTGGGGCCTCCCCGGTGGTGCAGCAGTTGAGCGCTGGGTTGCGAAGCTGCCCACCACCTCTGTAGCGCCGGTTCGATCCCCGGCCACTGAAGGAGGGTCCCACATGGCGTGCAGACCTCTCCTGCCGCCCGCTGCTCCCCTCAGCAGTGTACTTTGTCAGTCTGCCTGCTCTGCTCCCCGCTCTGACTCTGGTGGATTCTCTTGCCCTCCTGTGCTTCTGACTGTACCCAGTGCTTGTATAAATAATAAATAAATAAATCTTTAAAAAAAAAAAAACTAGTCTGATGTTCCCTGTACTCTGAAGGGCAAGTAACCTATGACAAGCAGTATCCTAATGCTCAAGAATAAAGGAAAGTGAACACTAAGTAAACAAAAGGCCATTGCTATGAAAATACGGTAGGCCATCAATAACCAAAAAAAGTCAAGGTTTTTTCATCTTAAAAGAATATGTTGTTGGGCCTCCCCGGTGGCGCAGCGGTTGAGCGCTGGGTTGCGAAGCTGCCCGCGGCCTCTGCGGCGCCGGTTCGATCCCCGGCTGCTCCCCGGCCACCAGAGGAGGGTCCCACATGGCGTGCAGACCTCTCCTGCCGCCCGCTGCTCCCCTCAGCAGTGTACTTCGGTCCTTCTGCCTGCTCTGCTCCCCACTCTGGCTCTGGTGAATTCTCTCACCCTCCCATGCTTCTGACTGTACCCAGTGCATGTAAAAACAAAACAAACAAATAAAATAAAATAAATAAATAAAAACATGCCTCTAAAAAAAAAAAAAAAAAGAATATGTTGTTATTGGCTTCTTCCAAACAGTGTAGAAATACTAAGCAAAAAACAAGTCACCTTTAGACTCTGATTACTGTTCTGTGGTCTGCTCCCTTTTCCTTTTCAAATGTGACAAGGCAACATATAGTGCAAGTTGGTGAGTCACTGGAACATGCCTGGACCCCAGCCTGGGTGCCGGCTACTAACACTACAGACATTCATCGGCAGAATGAATGTCAAGGCCACACAGTTCCCCATCATGTATTTGTGGAAAATTCATTCCAGGAGAAATTCATAAATCAGACCCGAGACTATACTGAGACCAGCGCTGTGTGGTGAGATGCAGCGTCTGCTGTTTCCACTACCCGGTCTTGTGGGCCCCTCCCCACAGAGGACAGGGCCTCCTACAGGGATGTGTCTCCTCCTCCAAGAGGACGTCTTCGAAGGACTAGCGCTGACTACTCCAAAGTGTTTTGATAATCCATCTGGTGCCGTATTTACCTGCAGCTTTCATTATTTTCACCTTCCAATCTATTATTTCTTTCAGTGTGAAATGGTTTGAAAACTTCTTTATGAATTAAAGTTCATCACTGTTCAGTCAAAATGATTCCCCGAACATAGCACTTCAAAGGGAGGAAATACACATAACATTCTGACATCACAAAACACAGCAGGACACACTTTTTTTTAATAGCGTCAGTGGCTTCAGAGCAACTGGCTTGGGTGTGTGTGTTCATGGTAAGGTTTTGCCAAAAGCTCATGTTTTATTAGGCATCTCAGTCTTTATACTTTATAATCTACTCTCAATCTTTTCCCAAAGATGACATTCTATGTGATTTTTTGGCAATTTTTACAGGACTATTACTGAGCCAGTTTGGGCAATAAAGCAAAGAAGGTCAGTCAGGCTTAAGAGTGTTAAAAGAAAGAACTTTATATGTGTCTTTGCTGCTTACTGAAGAGCTAATAAGCCTGTGTTGACCCTGTGGACATGAGATAGGACTTTAAATGTTGCTTTATTTTACTTTTTTATTCTGTAATTCAGCCACCTTAATTTCTAGTGGTAAAGCAGACACATGGCTTATCACATGCTTGTATCCTAGAAATCAGAAAGCAAGTTAACGGAGTAAGATGAGTTACTTTCTATACTGACAGGAAAAGTTGAATACAATCTGGATGATTCCCTCTTAGACCTTCTGATTCTCTAGAAGAGCTCATTGGTCCCTGCAATCTTGAGGCAAAGTGGAAGATGTAGACAGAAAAGTAAAAAGCAGGGCGGGGAGAGTTTTTCAGACACAGGTCAGAAAGGACTTAAAGAAGAAGAGCAATGAACTGGTTCCTGACTAGCGAGAGGGTCTGCACACATGAAATGGGCAAGGGAAAGTAAAATGCAGGTCTCCGCACTCTCTGAATCCTTGCTGTCTGAATATTTACTGCAGCAATCTTCTAAGTGACACTAACTTATTTCACAAATGTACTCAATAAATCTGTTTTAGGTTGCATGCAGGAATATGTCTGAATCGTGCACTCCTAAGCAAGAAGACAGCGTCCTGAGTTCATGCTGCTTACACATGTCACGTTTTACAGATACCCCTTTCTCCGCCCCAGCAGTAGAGAAGAGACCACTGAAGGAAATGGGAAGGCTAAGCGAACTAAAGATCCCATGCAGGGCCTCCCCGGTGGCGCAGCGGTTGAGCGCTGGGTTGCGAAGCTGCCCGCGGCCTCTGCAGCGCCGGTTCGATCCCCGGCTGCTCCCCGGCCACCGGAGGAGGGTCCCACGTGGCGCGCGGACCTCTCCTGCCGCCTGCTGCTCCCCTCAGCAGTGTACTTCGGTCCCCGCTCTGGCTCTGGTGAATTCTCTCACCCTCCCGCGCTTCTGACTGTACCCAGTGCGTGTATAAACAAAAACAAACAAATAAATAAAAACATGCCTCTATAAAAAAAATTCTTAAAAAAAAAAAAGATCCCATGCAGTAGAAAAGCTGAGTGGTCAAGCACATTTAGAGTTGAAAAACTTTTCGTTTTTGGCTTGGCCAGACACATGTTCCCAACTCCCATGAATACAAATACAATGAGGAACATCACAAGAAATTTGAGATTATGCAGAAAAAAACCTTGCTGGTACAACTGACCCTGGCATGAACAGACTTGCCACATTCAAGACACAATTATGAAAGCAGTCTTGTGTTAGTCTAAGTTGTAAAACACCAAACAAAGGGAATGCAAACAGCCTGCCACTCTGAGCTCTGGTTCTCATCCATTGCTATAAGTGTAGCTTCAGACAATGGTTCACATTTAAAATCCTCTGGACTCTCCTGCCCAGGAAGAGAAGATTCTCCCTGGATCATTAGATCCAGACATAGATGAACCTCAGACATTTCCTGTTTAACTCATTTCTTCTTTTGCTTCCCCCTTTAGGGACTCAATTTCATTCTTCTGATCATTGATTATTTTTCTCAAATCATTGTTTTCCTTTATGAGTTCTAACTCATTTCTTCTTCAAGCTCTTTCTTGCTAACCTCCTTCCACCGCTAAATAGTAACAATGACCACAGGGCCCCCTCCCCCTTGCCAGACCCCACACAAACATGCTTCAAGCATAAGAAATCTCTCAAAAAATTATCTTGCTTATTTTACATTACTAAGTATTAATGGCATGTAGTATGTATCTGTAATGTATTAATTTACATGTATGTGTCACACAGAAGGAAAATGTAATCTACACTCAGAGTTAGTGCACAGTACTATGGCTTACTACATGCAAACATGCCTACCACTGAGTTTATCAAGTATCACATAACCAGATGGTATACACATAATTTATACTTTGCAGAAATTCTTCACGGTTTGTTAAATAGGTGCACCAAGGGGTTATGCTGAGACTTGGCAAATTGATTTGCATTTTCTTAGGGTAACAAATTCATTTTTATTTTTCCCACCAAAAACAATGGAATATTGGTTTCTGTTCTCTGAATATAAGTTAACAAATTCTAAAAAACAGATTAATTTCACAAAAAGTAAGACACTTGTATAACAGTAGTTACCATAATGCATATTTCTTCTACCACTGAAGTGTTTCAAGAAAAAATAATAAAGTACTATTTTGAAGTGCATTGCCTTAATGTGAAAATCATTCAGTGTCTGTCAGTTAAGTTTGTTTTATTTACTAATATTTACTGATTTTTAATAAAAGAGTAATCATTTGTATTTATATTCAGTTGGGAAAATACAGATTATCTGGGAAAGGGAATTCACACTAGTAGACTGCTCTCCCAGATTCAATGACATGGTTCCATTATGATGGAAAAATATCTTTAGATGCTGTTTTTCGAGTTTGAGTTTTGTTTAACGACAGTGTTTTAGTTTGAGTTTTGTTTAACGACAGCAGCCTCTCACCTGCCCTCTTCAGATTGATACTCCTCATCCTCATCCAAATCTTGTGCTGGTTGAATGTCTTCACTGGTTTCCTTTGGAGTGAAAAACTCCTGGAGAAAAAACTGGCATTTTAGATGCTTACAATGAAGTATGTAGAACAAATACCTGTCACATTTGTATGGCCTGTGGTAAAGGGAGAAGCAATGTCACAGCTGATAAGCATATGATGTGAGAAAGAGGCCCTGTCACAGATGTGAGAACTGAAGATTTAATAGAAAGATTTAATGATTTGTCCCAAGACACACTAGATCAAAGTTGATACATTTCATTTCCCTTCCCATTATGCATCAGCCACACTGTGGGAAAAGACATTCTCCTCCAAAACGCCCTCTGTTCTCACAGGAGGTCTTCTCCAAAACAACTATCACCATGGAACAAATATCCTAGCAATCCAGAGAAAAACTAATAGATCACAAATGGAAATCTTTGTACCATAAGGAGGACTATGGTGAGGATAGCATGAGAATCAGATTTTTCTCTTGCACAGAGAAACAAGGATATTTGGGAGGTGACCCCCAAGATGAAATGTCTGCTTCTCATGGCAGATATGAGTGATCCAAAGCCAGAGCTGCCAGGAAGGGGTAATGGGTGGGACGATCAGAACAACAACTTCCTCCAGTTGCCTTTTTCTCTACCACTTTTATCACTGCCTTAAATTTGGAAAGATGATGACATATATCCCACCTCAAAAAGTGAATGTAAAGGTGTCCTTCAGTTTCTGAGATGCCGTCCATTAAAATCCACACTTCAACCTGAGAGGAAAAGCCCTCTGTGAACCCTAACAATAACAATCAAGCAATATGACAGTAAGAGTGACAGGGTGATTGTACAGTTCACGTTTACAGAGTGCTGACCATCCACGAGGCATATTTCATTTATCTCCACAACAACCCTAAAGGAGGTACTATTACTACTGTCCTTTGTAAAAAAGAAATGGAGGCCAAAAGATATAAGTGGCAAATCCTGCTGCTAGCTAGTAAGGACAGGATGAACCCAATGGCAAGAAGATTCTGACCCAGCTAGTAGAAAAAGTATGGAATCCAGTTGGTAGGAACAGGATTTGAACCCTGGCAGCAGGAAAAGGATACATACTAGGTAAAGGGTGAACCCAGCTGGTAGGAAAATAACTTGAATCCAACGTCTAGGGAAAGGATTGGAAGCCAGGAGTTCTTATTGGGAGGCCTCTCTTGTAAGGGGCAGTTTTTTGTGCTGTACGTCACAGTGTCATCATAATATTAACAGGGCATAAACCGAGCTTTTGATTTTTGCCCCCTGCACTTCCAAATCGCACTGGCCCAGTCCTATTTCATTCTTTTTTTTTTTTTTTTTAAAGATTTATTTATTTATACAAGCACTGGGTACAGTCATAAGCGTGGGAGGGCGAGAAAATTCACCAGCGCCAGAGCGGAGATAAGAACGGCAGAAGGACCGAAGTCCACTGCTGAGGGGAGCAGCGGGCAGCAGGAGGGTCCCACCATGTGGGACCCTCACTGGCGACCGGGATCGAACCAGCACTGCAGAGGCTGCTGGCAGCTTCGCAGCCCAGCGCTCTACCACTGTGCCACCAGGGGAGGTCCCTATTTCACTCTTTACTGGCACTTCCAATCATTGGGCTGCTCAGGTCAAAAAGCTCAGAGTCACCATGGAACCCGGCAATCCCACTCTTGGGCATCTATCCAAGGAACAAGAAAACATAACTACAAAAAAACATGTTTCCTAATAGTCCTAGCACCATTATTTATAATAGCTAGGACACAGCAGCCTAAATGTCTATCAATAGACAACTGGATCAAGAAGATGTGGTCTAGGGCCTCGCCGGTGGCGCAGTGGTTGGCCACTGGGTTGCGAAGCTGTCCGCAGCCTCTGCAGTGCCGGTTTGATCCCCGGCCGCCGGCGAGGGTCCCATATAGTGAACAGACCTCTCCTGCCACCCACTGTTCCCCTCAGCAGTGTTCTTCGTCAGTCTGCCTGTTCTGTTCCCCGCTCTGGCTCTGGTGAATTCTCTCACCATCCCGCACTTCTGACTGTGCCCAGTGCTTGTATAAATAAATAAATAAATAAACAAATAAATCTTAAAAAAAAAAAAAGAAGAAGAAGATGTGGTCTAGATCCACACTGTAGAACACTACTCAGTCATAAGGACGAAATGTGGTCATTTTCAACAAAATGGAGGGAGTTTGAGAGGATTTTGTGTACTGCAGCAAGTCAGAACAAAGAAATACTGGATCTTTACATAGCCGCAAACTAGAAAGTGTAAATTACTTACAAAAACTAGTGGATGTGAGTAAACACGCTGAGGGCTCTGACGGGGAGCGCAGGGAAAGGGACAAGGGGAGAGCAGGGATAGTGGTGGGGGAAGACGAGCTAGTAGGAGACAATACACAGTACTGGTTGCTTACCCTGGTGATTTAAAAAAAAATCAGAACCATGATTTAAAAGGAGCTTCAGTGGTAAAGATGGGAGGGCTAAGAAATGAAATGAAAATTTAGTATGAATCAATGAAAAACAAATGACCTGGATAGGACGGGCTACCCAGGGTTTTAGTCACTGCAATCTACACCTTTCCAAACACGTTGGGAAGCTATTTATCAGAATTAGAGACATTAAAAAAAAAGATGGGCCTCCCTGGTGGCGCAGTGGTTGAGCACTGGGTTGCGAAGCTGCCCGCAGCCTCTGCAGTGCCGATTCGATCCACGGCCTCTGGCAAGGGTCCCACATGGCGCGCAGACCTCTCCTGCTGCCCGCTGCTCCCCTCAGCAGTGTATTTTGTCAGTCTGCCTGTTCTGCTCCCCACTCCGGCTCTGGTGAATTCTCTCACCCTCCCGAGCTTTTGACTGTACCCAGTGCTTGTGTAAATAGATAAATGAATCTTTAAAAAAAAAAAAAAAGGTAAGAGTCATCCTTGCTTTTGCTCTCCACCCCATACCCAGCAGATGAGCCAGGACTTCGGGTTCTATCTCCCAAGTATTTCCTGAATCCACGCACCTCCCTCTCCATTGCCGTGGGCACACTGCTAGCCAGGCGCTGCCTCACAGGCCCCTTGCGCCCGTGCCGGTGAGCCTCTACTCTACTTCCCAGGCAGGACCAAACCTCACTTTTAAAAATAAACTCAGATCATGTCATTCTCCTGCTTTCCAGTGAGCTTGGGGAAACCCGAACTTGTTGCCAGGCTTCCGAAAGCCTCACACTCTAGCCTGCCTCCTGTACTTATTTTCTACTACTCTTCCCTCCTTCGCCTTCCTCTGTCATTCATGGGCCTCTGCTCCCTGGAACACCAAGCTGGTTGCTACTGCAGGAAGTTCCCAGCTGCAGAGCCCTCCCCTTGGCGTGTCCTTTCCTCGTTGGCTGGACCTCATCATCCCCAGGGGGTGGGGGGTTCTCTGCTCAAAAGACGGATCACCAGGGACAGAGACCACTGATTACTTGGTCTCAACTCACTACCCACCCCAGATAAGGCACATGACCCTGTTTCCTCACCCCCACGAGACCAGTCCATGCCATTTGTTTATTGTCTACCTTCCCCAGCACAGAGCCTGGCACACATTAGGTGCTTACTAAATTACTCAGTGCATAAATTCACTGAGCCAGAGTATCAGATGAATTTTAAAAACTGATTTTTCTCTTTAGAGATGGATTCTGTGAGTGCTATATAAGAAAAATGAGGGGGGCGCTACCTCAAAACTCACGTTGTGACAAAAGTCTGTCTTTGTCCATCTACCAAAATGCTCACTTCTCTCAAGATGTCCCAGTCACAGCACCTGCATACCGCCTTCATGTGTTATCAAAACCCCTTCTAAATGAGTGTGCACCTCCTCCTGGTGTGTCCAGAGATCCGCCACATGCTCCCCTCCTAAAATGCAGGGGTTGGTCTTTCCTCATTCATGCCTCCTAGCACAGCGCTCTGCACATACAGGGCCCTTTAGCAATACTGTGAAGTGTCTGAGTGACCAAAGGGGACATGGCCCTTCAAGGAAGCCCACGCTGCCACAACGAGGGGGACACACACACAACATACTCACCCGTAAGACCTCAGCCCGGAGAACACAGACGGACCCCACAAGATAAAACCTATCCTCCAAAGGAAGATTTGCACCATACAACTTGTTGTAGGGCTGGCTGGGGAAGAAGGTGGTGAAGAGCACCAAAGGCTCTAAGGGAGAGAGAGACACACGTGAAAGCCAGGTAGGTCACACAAGCAGACAGACACCCACCACACAGTGTTGCTAGTGACAATTTTCAAAGTCACAGATTTCTTTCCAGTCACCCTCCCACCCTGGTGGTCCCCACCAAAACATGAAGTCATTGCTGAGAAACAACTGTTGTGGGTTCACGGTGGTTTTGTTTTTGTTATTACTCTATGGATGGATGTTTTAGTCTCCAAAAGAAATTTAGTTCCTCTCTCTTACAGACCATGGATACTAAATGAGTGTGATATGTGGTCAATTAAGAATAAAAGAGTATCTTTTAAGAAAATATCTGACCTTTAGTTTACAAGACACATAAACCACATATCAGAACATCTTTGAGTGAGCTAATCTTCATTATTTATTTGCTCATTCATGCATCTGCTGTATTTTAGACCTCAGTGGCATAAAAGTGAGTGAGTTATAGTCCTTGTTTATGGCCTACTATGAACACCTAGTCTTCGCTCTTACTTTCATTTTCTACTCTCTGTCCTTTCCCCATCCACAGGCACCCACATCCACCTGCCACCTTTGACACATATCCTTGTAAAACAGAGTCTTGTTTTATGTACATATGTTTATAAAAGTGTCATTGTGCTGTCTCACCATTTCTTATTTTTTCAATCAACAATATGGTTTTAAGACTGAATTTGTGGTATGCATAGCTAGAGCTCTCTGCTTTTGGCTATTACAAAGTTTTCTGTATTGTGTATTTCCCAAATTTTACATGTCTGATCCCCTAATGATGCACGCCTATGTGGTCTCCAACTTGCTCCTAGAACAAGCAATACCATGACACCCTCAGAACAGACAGAGCACTCTGAAGTTTACCTCTGTGATATTTCTACGCAGCGATGGGACTGCTGAGCCATAGAATAATCAACACAAGTTACTTCAGCCCATCTCTGGGTGGCTTCACGAGCTTACATTCCTATGAACAGTCTGTTCATTCCTCACATCCTCACCAGTATTTGGTATTATTCACACTTCTAATTGCTACCATTCTGATGGGTACACAGCGTTACAGCAATGAATTTTAAGATTTTCATTCCTTGCTTGCTGGTTAAGTTTGAGCATCTTTTCACATATTGGTTGGGCTATTTACCTGATTCGAGTGCTAGATATTTTATAGACCCCAAATCAGCATTTATTTTAATTTCTCAACTTGCTGTTCCTGAAGCCTCAAAAAATACAATTCAGACCAAATTCACACTACACAGATTTGGGTTTTGATTTCCTATAAATGAAACTTTTTTTTTTCCTTCAAATTCTGAGATAGCAAACTTACCTCTTCCTGTCAGCGAGTGGACAGGATTTCATTGATCATTTTAAGTCTCTAGGCTGGTCCTTGAATGGGTGCTAGAACTCCAGTCCCCAATCAATGGAGCCAGGTGCTGACTCAGAATCACCTAGGCCACCACAAAATCAAATTTGTAGGTTTGATCTTCATGGTTCTGTACTTCATCCTTTATTTTCTGGCATCCATGGACTTCCCTTTCTTTTGAGCTTGGCTATATGCTTTTTAAAAATGTTTTAACAATCATGTCCTTGCTTTTGCAGAAGAGTCATTCTTATTAGCTTATGACCTCACCTGGTAAATTTCACTACTAATTTTTTGAAAGTAATCAATGTCTGTAATGAACCCTGTGTTATTTATCACAGAGTCTGAGCGCACCAAGAGAAGGGCATCTATTTTAGCAAAGAAGGGTTGAATAACTCATGAACTTTATCTACATCAGAACAAAAACAAAACTGCTTACCATTAGAAATATCTTTTATACCCAAGATGAATTTCACATATTCATAAGTAATGATGCCACCACACTGAATATTTCCTCTTCTAAAATGACAGCAAAACTCAATATGTCTTCCCACTAAAGGACAGACACAAAACAAAGTTACACTCGTACTTTACTGTATTCTGCAGGGTTATGTCATGACTATTTTCTTACTTACACTAAATTTTACAAGAATATTATTTTCTTTCCATGAACATTAACACCTGCACAGCTATCTAGGTTGTATCTGTAGACCAAGGTTCCAGCTGGAATGTTACTCATGTAACATTAATGCAATGTATAGTATAATGCATAGTGTTAACACTATACAACAGCTGAAATAATCCAGGTTCATGATTGAGGACAAGATTTAACAGAGGAGAAAATTTGTTAACACTGCAACTATAACTTGTGAAATTATATATTTAGTTAAATCGATATATGATCAGCAGCTATACAGGTTCTGATGTCTTTATTTTTACTCCTCCTCTGAGAGACTGTTACCTGTCTCTTTGAATCTAAGAGCACACTATTTGAAAGAAACAATCTGTACCTGAGCTTGACAGAGGATGTTTGAGAGCAATCTTTCTGTAGACTTCACTTTTTTCTACATCAGGCAGAAGGCTTAATAATTTTTTACCCACAACCTCATCCTAAAGGGGACGAGAGAGAATACTTTTTGTTGTATGTGCTAACACTACTATTTACGTCCTCTAGCTCCTCACCTAAAGGAAACACATCATTTCCCCCAGTTCAACTATCTTATGTTCACACTGGCACCTCTAGAAATTCCAATTCACATTGCCCAATCCTGCAACCATCACCTCCTAAATTTCCAGTGCACTCATGCAAGCACCCCACCTCTCCAACAAATACTCCACCTCCCGAGATCACCAGTCCACACACGAGCACGCACACGCACACATGCACACACACAGTGGGGCCAGGGATCCATTTATCTGGTTAATTCCAACAGTTCATTTACCTATGCCTTCACCCAATCAACTGAATGTTTGAAAGAAAATTCTAAAGCATGTTGTGTATTATTTCAAATGGCCACTCATTTCTGCCTAGAAATCATTCTGCATTTCCACAGTGAATACACTCTCCTGCTCTTAAAAGTGACTATTTCTTTTCCTTCTTCAAACCTCCAACCCCCCTCCCTCATATTCATCTGGGGATCTCGCTTATTACAGCAATAAACAAATAGGAAGAAGAAAACATTCCCCTACCACTAATCCTACCAGCTTGTCTGTTCTTGTGGTCTGAGACCAGCTTTACCTCCCATTCCAAAGAAAACATGATTACCTAGGTCTGGAGCACTGTCACAGCCTAGTGACTATTTAAGGACATTGTTTCAGAAGTTCTCCCCCTCATGTTATCCCTCTCCACTGGGTGTTTCCCACGAGCATGCAAATGTTATTTCACAGAAGCTATAATATCTGGCATCTTAAAAACAAAAACAACAAAAAGTTTAAAACCTTCCTTGACACCTCATCCTCTCCCCTCCAGCTCTAATTCTCTGGCCCAATTTGGAACAAAAATCCTTTAAAGGAACTGTATTTGCTATCTCTCATTTCTCCACCCCTCATTCTCCCTTAAAACCACACTAACCAGATCTATATCCTAACCACTCCACACAGGTCAAGCTTGCCAGTGACCTCTATATTCCCAGATCCAAAAAACAATCCTCTACCTTCATCTTACCTAACATCTCAGCATTTGATTCAACCGATCCTTCTTTATTCCTTGAAATACTTTCTTTACCTGGCTTTCAGGATATCAAACACGAGCGGACAGCCTTGTGCTTCACGCTTACTCCTTCAACATTTTTTTTTTTTTTTTGGCTGGATTCTTCTCTTCCTGACTACTTGGTAGTGGAATGTCTAGGGCCTGGTAATTAGACCTCTTCCTTTACTATATACTCCCTCCCTGAGTAATCACTTCCAAGTTTATCTCATTAAATACCAACTATCTGCTAATGACGCCCAACTTCCCATCTTCTGGCCAGACTTCTCCCCAGTAGGATTTCAATTTTAAAATACCAAAACCGCAGCTGACTGTTTCCATCACAAAACAAGTCCTTGACTTGCCTTTTTTCTCTCAAACCCCCACACACTCCAGAAGCAAGCCACTGGTTCTAGCCTTCAAAATCTCTCATCAGTCCACTTTTCAACCCTTGGTTTAAGCCGTCATCTCGAGCTTAGATCATTTTAACGGTCTTAGTTGCCTGGTCTCTCTGGGTCTATTTCTGTCTTGCCTCCAAAAAGCAACCAGAGTGATCCATTCCAAACCGAAGTCAGATCAGGTGATCCCTCTCATCATCATCTTCCACTGGCTACCCAAGTCATTCAGAGTAAATGCCGAAGTATTTAAAACGGCTTTTACTGCTGTATGTTCTGGTTCCTTGCATACAATTGGTCCGCCACTCCCACTCTTGCTCAGTGAACTCCTCACTCGTATTAAATACAAGCAAATCATCTTGGAATCCTTCAACTTGTTCTTCATTCAAAGCGAAACACTCTTTCCCAGATACTTGGAATGACTTTCTTCCTAACTTCATTCAAATCTCTACCGAAATTTAAGTTAAATAGCACCTACTCTATGACACTCTCTTCCTGTCCATTTTTATAATACTTACCACCACGTGACATTAAAAGCACATGTAAAAGTTTATCTGTATATTATCTGTCTCCCCCTACTACATGTAAACTGCATAAGAACAAAAACCACGGCTATCTTACTCACTGCTACATTCTCAACACCTATAACAGAAGTTGGCACAAGTGAGCAGTTGATAAATATGACTTGAATAAATGAGTAATACATGTAGCTGGAATATGCTGACACATGGATAAATCAAATATCACACGTTATATAAGTTTTTAATGTGATGGGAACAAAATAATAAGCAAACAAAGTAATAAAGTATTTTTGTAGCTGAATAATGCTTTTGAATGATGAACCACAAATTCAAATGAGTTTAACTGAATATTAATAATCTGCATTCAATATACAGACGTACATGTTTATGACCCATTTGCAAAAGCCAACCTATGAGTTGACCAATGCTCAAAAATGAACAGATGAATCCTGTCTCAACCAAGAAAAACCTTGGCTCAATGCAGAACAGATGCATCACCTTAATTTAGCAAACAAAATGTCATGAAATTAACAGTCAATAAATATGGACAGTAAAAGTCACACAGAAAGAAATTGACTTCCAAAAGGAAACAGATTTTTTCCATTAACCTTAACTTTTTCCAAAAAAAATGCTCAAATTGGTTTAGTTATGAAGTTCAGTTCTGGTGGCAAAGCAAATGATCTCTGCAGCACAGACTACTCAGCGTTTCAGCCTAACACATGCTCAGCAACGGCTGCGTGCCAGGTACATCCTAACCAACTAGCTCTTGTAATACCCTGGGGAAAGGAAGAATTATCCCTTATTTCATTCACAAGGAAACTGCTGAGAGGCCACAAGCTCAGACATGAGCTACACGCCCCAGCTCCATCCACTGTGTTCCCTGTTCCTTTCACTGTCCCATAGCTGCCTTGAGTCTAATTTGCACCAGGAGCAACCAATGTGCTACTGGGCCAGTTCTTGCATTTTGTACAGTTCCCCCCCTTTTTTTTTAACTGAGTACTGAGAGCTAAAAAAGATGAACCTGATGTTAGTTCTAATTGCAAAAAACATACAGTTCAGTAGGGCAGATAAGACTTGCATAAATAATTATGCAAAGTATAAAATAATGCCATAACAAAGAGGTACAAAGTGCTATGACTCACCAGTTCCTTCATTAGTAGAAAAATGAAGGACAGCATTGTCACGTCAAAGAATTCAAAGTGAGCTGTCCCTTTGGTAGTCTGCATTCCCTTGGACAGAAACAGTGGCAACGAGTTGCTTCTTAATTAGCTACATTCTTTATGAAAGGTGACAGCGACAATGAATGCCCTATGACTGACCATCGACTGAAACAGTGAACATAGTCATCATCCAGTGACCCTGCCCCTCAGTTAGATAAAGGGCAGAGACCTGAAAGTATTAACAACCTCATGTTATTTTTGTAAACCTTTTGGCATCTGCTCTTCGAGACAAAGAGAGCAAGGTGCTTAGAACTTAACGAAGCAAGGATAAATACCAGTGGAAAATCCAGGTTTTTCAAAAGCCACGTTTGCAAATACCTATTAGCTGGCCGATAAATACTAATTAGTATGACAAATCTCAGTCATGCCACAAAAATAAAATAATTAAATAAAGGAATTTACTCCACTGCACGACATTTGCTGAACAACCAAGCAAGAAGAGTATTTCTTGTTGGCAGAGACATTCACATTAAACATGCATTAGAAAACTGTCCAGCTGTAAGGGCACTGAGAAGAAGAGCCTCTGGGTGAGAGTCAGACTGCATCCTCAATCAAACAAGATTCATCGCTAGAAATTCTCTCCTGTGCTGGAAGCTTCACAGTGCAAATAGAGCAGAACTCACGACAAATCTCACCAACCAACCCTAGTATTTATAAGGTGCTAAAAAAGTCTCTTAAAATCTCAGTGCTAAAAACTCTTTCCATGGTGAAATGTATATTGTAAGTTTCGTCTGTTTAAGAACTGTGAAAGACAACAACTATTTGTTCCCAGATTAGTTTTTTTTTTGGGGGGAATGTGCTAAGGCTGCATGAGTAGGGGCACGCTGCTAGCAACAGAGGGTAATGACTACAATTCCGTCCCAAAGAGACCATCAAGGACAGCGAGGATCAGAAACGCGCGCTGAATACCCTGTGATGACGCCAGTCTCTGTGTCAGTCACGGTGCATTCTCTATCGTCATCACTTGGCTCTTCCCATGTTTTGGCCACACCCTCCCCCAATCCATCAGCAAAACTTATTTTACCTACAAACCCCGATTACCATGTTCACCTGAACGCAAGCCACCACCCCCTACTGCCTAGGCTACCAAAACAGCTCTCCAGTGGATGCCCTACCCCCACGCCTGCCCCACAGCCGGGTCTTTACACAAGAGCAAGTCATCCTGAGGAAGGGCAAGTTCAGATCACTATCCTCCAATGGCTTCCTCTCCTCTCAAAGGCAAAAGCAAAGTCATCACAGGGCCCTAAACAGAGCGGCCTTCTGTTACTTTTGCAGCCCAATCACCTCCAAGTGCTTTCTTTTTGCCCGCAGCACCCCAATCACAGCAGCCTCTCGACTAACCCTTCCCGCACTAAGCACGCTCCTGCTTGAGTTCCTTCTCATCTGTTGTTGCTTCTGCCTGGAACGTAACTGCTGTAGTTATCTGCACTGCTCACGCTCACTCTATTCAGGCAGGCCTCTGCAAGTGTCACCTGATCAGGCGAGCGTCCTCCAACAGCAATCAGAGCCCATCTGTCATCTCCACGCGCTCCTTTCCCCACTCCCCATGTGGTGAGTGACAGGGCTGAGTTTTAAACTCCAGATTATTAGACTCCAGAGACCAAGCTCTTTCCGCCGCACCCAACTATCAGTTTAGAGTTGTCCGGTAGACAGAGGTGCCTTGATTTGTTCACTGAACTTGTAGAATCCTGGACGCAGGCAGATACTGTGAAAAGGATCTGGTCCTCATATTAATATAAGAGGGATGACTAATGAAAATTATAACTAAAGCCTGAAAAAAGATTGCAAATTGTTAAAATTTAAGCACAGTTAGTATCTGAGGAGGAAAGTGAAAATGTACCTCAGGCATAGTCCTTCCTAACTCCATTAAGAAAATTTAACTTCATTTTCATTTGATGTTTATGTACAGACATAACATAGTTTAATTTCTAAGTATACCAATCTAAGGTAATCAAATCCATACTTTATGATTAGTTGTTCAAACCCATGTCCCAGACACCCCTACTTTAGGGTAACTCTGTGTGTCTGTATCTCAAATGTAGGGTGAAAGAGTCCCTTGAGAGTGAAAACTCTGAACCAAACTATATAAGGAAACAGGGATAATATTATAACTACCAGCATCATTGTGAAAAATATTCATGTATTAGGAAGTGACCAGTTTTAGTCAATGACTATTTTAGTTTAAAAAAAGCAAATCAGACCTGTAAAATGGATGTTGTGAACAAATCCTGGCATTCATTGTTTACTCAGTATGAGGTAGACTCTAAAGCAATGCACAAAATTAACACACCCCCCAGAAGAGATTCATCCCACTAAGGGCTATGTCGCAAAGCAGTCACCTCAGGGCTTATCCACTGATTCTGAGGAGGCTACCATTTCAAAAAGCACATTCTTCTTTGGGCATTGCCTTCAGAGGACGTTTACAGCCACAACCACAGATACACACACACATACACACACACACATCCTCTCTCTCTCTCTCTCTCTCTCTCTCTCTCATTTCATTACCCATATCAGAGTTCGGCTTTACGGATTTAAAACAAACCAATAGAGGTAATGATAAAACAGATGCACATTTTGACAACACTGTGAACATCTTTTCTGATGAGTTATATGCTCCTGAAAACAAATATTGAACCTTTAAACAACAAGCCAAAAATGATCACTTTCCAAAAACTGGAAAAACTTACTGGTGAATAGCCAAGAAGGGAAGAGATGTTATCAGCCACAAAAATTATCACTCCATCTGCGCTCAGTATTATCATAAAGCCATCTAATGACTAATGAAGAGAGAATAATAATGTAATTAAATAGTGGGACAATAATAAAATGATAGCTTTTATTTCCAAATGCATAAATAATTATATAACAGCACACTGAAAATGAATTGTAAATCTTAAACATCAATAAAGCAGGCACAGACTTAATTAAAATTCCATTATTCTGCCTCCTACACAGAATCTGTTTAACCTTAAGCATGAGATGTTTATCAGCTGATGTGTCACTTAGACAAACAAATTCGATGTACACCCAATTAACACGAAGCTCTCCAACACAAGCTAGGAAGATTCACTCAAGTGTGCAGGTTGTTTTACATTCAATTCAAAATTAATTTCAAAAATACTAAAACATCATGTCTAAATAATTATTTTAAAACCCAGAGCCGAAAAAATTTCAAATAACATTAGATGAAATGAAACATCATGAATGAAATACAGTATAAATAATAAAATCAGATTCAGACACAGAGAGTAGAATTACCAGACACTGAACATGGAATAAGTGTGTTTAACATGCTTAAAAATATGGGGGTCTCCCTGGTGGCACAAGGGGTTAAACACTGCATTATGAAGCAATCTGCAGCCTCTGCAGCATAAGTTCGATCCCTGGCTGGCCAGAGAGCAACCCACATGGCGCAGCAGACCTCTCCCATCTCGCCCACAGCTCTCCTCACCAGTGTATTTCAGTCAGTCTGCCTGTTCTGCTCCCCACTCTGTCTCTGGTGAATCCTCTCACCCCCTGCATCTCTGACCTGTACTCCAGCTCTTGTATGCATAAACAAATCTTTAAAAAAACATGCTTAAAAATAACCAAGGGTTATAGTCCCCATACAATTTCCACCCTCCTTGTTTTGATCCTACTCCCTCCTCCCCACTCACCCTCCCGCAGTGTGTCTCTGGTTTATAGTTGCTTGTTGATTTTGATTTTTACTTGATTAAAATTAGTCTTTTTCCTGGTCCCTTATTCCAAGATGAAAATGTATACACAGTAAGGCAGGCCGTGGTAATCTGTATTTTCACTAAGCTTCCTAGGCAATCCTGATGTGCATGTTCTCTTAATCACACTTTGGAAAACAATGTTCTGTATCTCCTCTTGCATGTATTCTACATACGAAGTGATCAAAGCACAAACCCCCCTCTTACTTGTAGTGCCATTCGGTGAAAGTCTTCATAGCTCTGGAATGATGGAATCCAAGCAGATGCTTCTGTAGATGTTTCTGCAGTGACATTGGCTTTTTAGAAAAAGGGAAAAACAGAAAGGGTCACATTAAAATGATTTAGCTATAGGTACTGGATTTTTCCAAAGCAATGATTTTACAGAAAGGACTTGTGAGAAGATAATGAGTGTTAATGAAGGACTCGATGCAGAACAATTGCTTATAAATAATTATAAACACACAAGTGTTTCAAACTAAAAAAAATAACTTCAAGATCTTCCAATTCAAGTTCTACTATACACATTATGACCTCTCCAAAACTTTATGATATTCAATCTCTGGTTCTTTCCTTTCTTGACTTAAGTCTTATGAATTCTTACAAGCACCCAGTGCCCATACAATGCCAGATAAGGTACAGGCTGTGTCAAGCACATGTAGACACCCCAGATCTCCCAATCCCCTGGCTAAAACAGGAAATTCCATGATTTACTTTCCTGTAATTAAGCTTGGAAGAAGGGCCCTTAGCTAGAAAAGCTGTAAGCCTATTCCCTCAGAGCTGCTGATACTTGCATCTCCCGTCAATCTTCCCATTCTTTTGTGGCAGCATTTCTGCACTTGGGCTTGACTACTCCACCAGCTTCATTAACATAGCCCCTCTCTTACACCTGTAATTCTATGCATGTCAATAAACATTAGCTTCTCCTCCTCACAAGGAAGTTACAGAGCCATGGCATACCGTTTTGATCCTTATTTAAAATGTGAAATCGGGCCTCCCTGGTGGCACAAGGGGTTAAGCGCTGCACTATGAAGCAATCCGCAGCCTCTGCAGCACGAGTTCGATCCCCAGCCCGCCAGGGCGCAGCCCACATGGCAAAGCAGACCTCTTCTGACTCACCCGCTGCTCCCCTCAGCAGTGTACTTCAGTCAATCTGACTGTTCTGCTCCCCACTGTCTCTAGTGAATCCTCTCACCCCCTCCCCCCGCACCTCTGGCCTGTGCTCCAGCTCTTGTATACATAAATAAATAAATCTTTAAAATAAAATAAAATGTGAAATCCCCTGACAAGGATCATTCTGACAGCAGCACTTGATTTCTTAGTGGGCATAAGTCTTGGATCCTTTCCTATGAGTAGATCTGTATAAAGAGGCCAAGCATGAGCAGAAGAGCTCCAGAACTCTAACAAGGGAATGAAAAGAGGAATTGCAACTGCATGGGAAGTAGAAATAATAGGAAAATACACCACATCAATTGCACAACTGCCTTTAGATCAGTATTCCTGACCTCTCCCAGCCTGGAAACTTAATTCTGGGCACATTTCCTGAAATGCAGGAAACAGCTCACCCATGGCACTCTCCCATAGATAATTACTGAAGTCACTTCCCCACTGACTTTCAGCTCCACCTAGTGACTTTTATCTCCTATACACCCTCCAAAGAAATAAAAAAGGCAGAAGTAGTAAGAAGGATGGAGAGCCAGAAGGAGACCCAGAGGAGGCACATGGAGCAAAAATACATGTGAAGAAACTGCACTTGCTTCTTGGCCTTGGACTGGTTCAAACAGTCCAAGCGGGTGAGAGACCCATGGGGAGGTTAACAATGGTGGCTTTTGTCTTGATTTTGATTTTGCTCTTTTCCTCCCAGACTTGCCTGCTGTTTCTGACTCTTTTGTATGGGTCTCCACTGGGATGTACCTTAGACTTATGGCAGGTTTTAGGGCCTCAGAGGCCCTGCTTTGGGCCAACCCTGTTTGGCTGGGCATTTACCCACAAGAGGATGGGTAACTTTGGGTGCTTGATTTGAAAACTTTATTGTCTTTTCTGTATTGCGCAGTTTTTGTATTAAAGTTCCTTTACATTATAGGTCTTACACACTAGGGTATATTTTTGTCTTGATGCAGTGGATGGCAGAATCTATTTAGAATGGGCAGGTTTTGGGTTTTGGGATACCCTTCTCCCTGCCCTGTAACAGAGTACAGATAGTTCCAAGAAAAGAAAACCAACGTATTCAATCAATCACTCGCTCACTGACAAAGGGCTTTTCTACCTCACCCATGAACTTGTTCTTGTTTTGCTTCTAGGCAGGCATCATATCCAATTCTTCACTACATCCCAGGCATTCAGCATAGTACTTAACTTACAATGGGGACCTGGTCATTCTTGCAAAACTGAATGAATTCACATGCTGAGTTCCTACTATGTGTCCCCTCTGCTTTAGAGCTCAGGAGACTGTACAAACAAGAAGGTAAGGTGACTATCCTTTTGTAGCTTATCGCTGGTGGGGTGGTAGAAAGATAATGAGAATAGAAAATGGAACCAATAATTTATACAGGCTGATCACTGAAAGCCCAACAAAGTAACATCGAAGCAAAGCTCTGAAGGACCAAAAGACAGCCATGTGAAGCAAAATAGCTCAGGTGAAGCAAGAAGTGCAAAGTGAGGCAGCAAAGAGATTTGTCCTATTTAAAGAAAGGAGGCCAAAATAGGGTCATGAAGGGATAGAGTAGTAAGAAGTCAATCTGAGAAACAGACAGGGCCAGGTCTTGTAGGATATATGGTAAGGAACTGGCATCATTCTGAGTGGAACATGAAATATTTTTAAGCCGGAGTGTGACACATGTTTTTAAAATATCACAATGGCTTTTTGTGTAAAACAGATGAAACTGGGGGGAGGGGGAAGGGTGGAAATAGAGAGTCTAGATAAGCAACTTCTTTAAAAATAACAGATGATAGCTTTGATGAGGGCTACAGAAATTGAATGAAGTAAATGGATTTGAATACCTTTTAGAGGTAAAGGCAAAAGAATTTGCTTGCAGACTGGGTAAGGAAGGGAAAGAAATGGAGATTTTCCCTTGAGCAGTTAATAAAGTAACTAGAGGTACCAGTTGCTGAAATGGAGAGAACCAGGGTTGGTGGTGAGAGGCTGCGGGTGAGGAATGGGGAGAGTCAAGAGTTCCTTCATGACCATGTTAACTTTCCTATTAGATATTCTGTGTGATGAAATCACATAGGAAATGCTCCGGCTGATTTAATGAGTATGATTCTCAAATATGGAGGTCAGAGAGGCCAGGGCTGGATACATTTTTAAAAAGTGGGGGTCACTGACATCCAGGCACCAATATTAAGGTATTGGATAAGAGTACCTAGGAAAAAAGTAGATAGCTAAGAGAAAAGGTCCAAAAACTGAGCAGTGGGCATATCAATGTTTATATGCTGAAAGAGGAAGTAGGGGACACATTAAAAAACAGAGAAGGAGCAGCAAATGAGCCAAGTGAGTATGTTATCCTGGAAGTCAAGATAAATCTGTTTTAAGAGGGAAGGAGTGGTCACCTGTCCAATATTTTGAAAGATCAAGAAAGATGATGACAGGGGGCCAATAATTTGGCAATGCGGAGCGATGTCGCCATAATTCCTGATAACAGTAGCTATACTGCAGTGGTAGGAGCACCCCCCCCAAAAAAAAAGAGACACAAAGAAGTGGAAACAGGATCTATGCAATCATTTCAAGCAGTTCTGCAATGCCCATGGCACAGAAGCAGGGCAATAAATAGCTGGAGGTGTCATGGGATCAAGAAAAAAAAGTTTTATAAGGTGGGAGACTTTTACAGCATGATTATATGTTTATGGGCGTGACCTACTCATGTGTTTATAATAAAGGATTATAGGTGCTATTTTGCACCTTGGGGGGGTCATATTTCCCTTAGCAATATTTATCATATGCCTTCAAGTACCTTAGAGAAATATGCATTATTATTGCCCAGATAGATTTCCATTAACTCTCATTTCTTTGTTCTACTTTTGCATGAATCTCAAAAACATTTTCAGTATAGACCATAAACAAGCTTACAAAAGCAGAGAAGCTAAATACCTGTGTATCAGAAGGTACTTTATATGATCCATTAGCCATTCATCCCTCCCAAAGACATGTAAGATAAAGTAATCTGTTACCCAGCTGTACCACCCACAGCTAACTCTCAACCCGGCTCATCAAAAAAAAAAAAAATTTAAAGACGGGTCTGGAGCTCAAACCTTCTTCTGGCTGAGGAAGGGCTGTGGTGCTTTCTGATGCTTTAGCTCTGTCTCCTTTTACAGGATAACCATGAGTTTGCAACATGTTGCGTAATTCTGCAAAGAAGGCTCTGAACCGGTCCTTTCTGATTTCAGATTCATCGGCCTTTTCCCTATTTGACAAAAACAATCAAGGTAATTAATAGCAAGGGTATATAGCTGGGAAATAAATAGAAGAAATAAGACGACAGAAAGGGATATGTTAATGTCAACACTTGAACAAAAATCCAGTCCCTGATCACTTATAGGACAAGAGTAACTGTCAACATCAAAATAAGGAAAAGAAAGCCAATCTCACCTTCTTTAGATTGGGAACCTGTAAGTTACATAGGGACCATGTCTGTGTCTCTCTCTTCTATAGCAAAGCCCCACCCAGAGTCTGGCACAATGGCCTAAGAATGACGTAATGTAAATGAAGTCCAAGTTAATTTGTATTTAATGGGTCTTTGTTCCCCTATATTTTCTTACCTGCTTTTACAAGAGTACTTCTTTCTGATTAAAGAAAATTATTTCTAAAGGATCTATAATTACTCAAGAGGCCCTCTCAAAGCCATTGCTCCTTCTCAGAGAGAAGGTGAGCAAGAAAACGCTAATTGAGGTTTTTTCACATTTAAAAAACACAGACTATAATGAAACATTTTGTCAAAACTTTTGATCAGTACACTGGAATTTACTTTAGGTGCTTTAACTAGAAAAATAAGGCTATTTATCTTTTCAAATGTAAATGAATTTAAGTATTGGCCAAGCCAAGGCCCCCCAAAAAGGCTTCTCTAACTACCAGGGGGTGTAAACCATTAATTTAGTGTCAGCTCTGGGCAGCCACAACAAGGAGAGGAAGACACAGTGTGCTAAGGGAGGCTGCCAGGTACACAGGCAATGTAGAATATAATAGGGATAGGGCTAGGAAACCAAATTTCCCAGAGTGAATCAGGTTTCTTCCAAGAAAGTAGGATTTTGCTACATGTGACAAGGGAAAAGAGGATGGGGGAGAGGGCTGGATGGAAATACCAGTCAATTATGAATTCATACCTCTTCTCTTTTTCTCTTTTCTCCTCATCCATTAGTCAATGATGTAACAGAATTCTGAAATCAAAATGGAGCAACATCTCGTTAGTAAATAAGTCTATGATTAAATCACAGTAAAGCAGTAAGGCTAATCAAAATTCTTAATCACAGAGCACCTTTCCCTCAAGCAATACTTCTTTTAAAGATAGAATGTCATTAACTACCAATAATCCTTTTTACATTATGCAGATGAAGACTTGCTTTATTATATGATCCTCAATGAATGACACAATAACATTACAAATTAATATTTGAAAAAATCACAACAAAAATATCCTTTGAAATTACACAACTTAATCCAAAAGGCAAGTATGTATATAGGGTTCAGTCTGTACACTTAAATTCTTTTTCACTCCCACTGACCTCAAGGACTCCTAGTGAAAAAAAAAAAATATGGATGAGGGTTGAAAGCTTCGTATCTAGCTACAATACCATGCTATAATAAATAAGAGTAAGAGAAATTCTGGGATGGGGATAAAAAGTAGTACAGAAATCACCCAAGCCCTCTGCTCTGAACTGTGTAATTACACTTAGACGTCACCTCAATTTCAAAGCCTCAAGGTAGAAGTCAGTAACATACAGCTACATATGTGTTCAATAAGAAGAAACTGCTAAATTATAGCGAGCATTCTTTAAATGATCTCAAGAAAGGAAGGAAAAGCTCAGGGGTCAAACACCAGGAAGACCCTGACCAAGCAAAGTGGGCGAGCAGAGCACCTGTGCTGCTGTTGGGTGGGTGCAAAGTTACGCACCACAAGTGTTTGGACTTGTGCCCTCTGGGGGGAAAGAGAATCCAAGCAGGAAAGTGGCAGCACAACCTATCATACTCTCCCTAGTCTAATGAAGATTCCCAGAGGCTAAAATTTCATGTTAAATATCTCCCACCAACAAAGGAAGAAAACAAGGAACTTTGTTTCAGAATGTTCTCTGGTGGGGGAGGCAGAAGGTACTACTGAACTGATTCAACCTGAGGGTTTCAGGAGGAGCAAAGACAAACCCTCTCTGGAGAGATGATCTCTAAATCCAGGTTCCACAGATAAGGCACTGCTAAAGATGAGCTCACCATGCAAAATTAAAAGATATCTAAGGAAATCTTCAATGTATTCCAGAATTAGAAGACACACACACACCACCACCACCCTCTGTAATAAGAGGCCACCGACTTCAAATGACTGAAATGTCCAAAAGTCATTATAAAGCAGTTGTGTATAAAAATATTTAAAATAGAAGAAACTGGAAACATGAGAAAAGACGACGTAGACATGAAAAAGAACTAAAGAGAAATTAAGTAAAGTGAAATTCTTTAGGCTTACTTAGGCAGTTTTTCTGTGTTCAAAAAGATAGATTAAAAGCAATGTATTCAAGGTACACCAGATGAAAAAATTAGTAACTGAAATACAGAGATAAGGAAATTTACCATATTACCTTTACAGAGAAATAATGAAGTGGGAAATATGAAACAAGAAGCTATGAGACATGAAGGACAGAATGGAAAGTCCCAACATATCTAATAGGAGTTCCAGATGAAGAGAACACAAGAATGGGTGACAGGCAGTAAAGAAATAAAAAGCTAAATTTTTTCCAGAAAGGAAAATATGGCCCAATCTGGTTAAATTAAAATACAACCATATCTAGAAACAACATAGTGAAATTTCAGAAAACAAAAGACCAGGTAGGCCATTCTAGGCCTACAAACAGCAAACCATATTGCTAGGATAACTATCAATTATGACAGCATGATAGATACTGACCCTAATGTAATTGAATTAGAAATGAAGAACAAAAATATAAATTTCTACACTTGAATATTTAAAACAATAGTAATAACAGTTAATATCCTAAAAAGTTCTAGAAATAAGAAAATATTCAGAAGGTAAGTATTTTATGAATATTACATATTAAGACCTACAAGATGCAGCTAAACAAGTACCAAGGAATTTATGCCCTTTATAAAAGTTCTTTAGGAAAAAAAAAATGAGTTACGTTAAACAGTTAACAAAACAGATTGCAAAAATAAAAAGGGAAAAAAAAACAAAAAACAAGGCAAGATAGGACAAGAAAACACAATAAATTATGTAGTGGGAAAGATCAAAAATACCTGATTCTTTTTAGAAAAAACAGTAAGACAAAACATTGCTATACCAAAGATGAAGGAGAGAATACTTATTTTGGCCTGGAAGTGCGTAACTTTGAAGAAAAGACATGGTAAAACATGTTCTGATCAACTTTATTCCCATAGATTTGAAAACAGAAGGCAAAGTAAAATATTGCCTAGAAAAATGTATTTTACCCAAGCCTGTTTAATATTACTAAGAAAATTTGAATAAATCTTATAAATGCAAAGAAATTAATTCTGCAAGTGAAAATTTATCCACAGGAAAGCCGCCTAAGTAAACCTAAACAAAGCAGTCTCAATGGCTTCACAGATAGATGTTTCCAAACATTTAAATAACAGGTTACCACATTATTCATGCAAATTATGCCAGAAAACTCAATTCATTTTAAAATGCTAGTGTATTTTTTATTCCAAACAGAAAAGGCCAGCATCAAAAGGGAAAATTTCATAGGTCAACTTTATTTATGATCCATATTCAAAATCCTAAATACCAAAATTAAAAATTTGGGCTAATTCCAGAAATATCAGGATAATTTCCCATTAGAAAAAAATGTAATTAAACGTATCACACAAAAAAAGGAAATAAGAATGTGATCATTCTCATTAGATGTAGAAAATGCATTTGATATAATTCAATACACAAACATAATTTAAAAATATTCTTAACAGACTTGGTATAGACAGGAACATCCTTAAACCAATAGAATCATTTGAAAACATACACTCTTAAAGGTGGAACAGTAAAGGAATTCTTTAGATTCAGGGAAAAAAATGAATGGGTGCTAAAACATTTACTGTATAATTCTACAGGTACTTACCAATGCATCAAGGTAAGAAAAAATGAGTAACTCTGGGAAAGGAAAAGTAAAATGGTCCCATAGAAAATCCAAAAGATTATTCCATTTACTAGAAGTAAAATAGTTCAGCAAGGTTGCTGTATATTAGACTAATATTTTAAGATTAATTCTGTTCCTATGTAGCAGCAACCAAAATTAGAAAATATTTCCTTAAAGATGCAAAAGCGACACAAATTTATAGGGACAGATGTTTGTGGCCATGGAAAAACTGATATGGGAAAAGCTGTCAAACAACTAGGCCATAAACAAAAATGAAAATGAACAAATTATAGGAAATACCTTTTAAGATACACTGGATAACAGTGCATGCACGTGATCCCTGCTATAGGAGTAAAAAATGAGATGCATAATAAGCTCAGATTTCTACCTAAAACTACTTCCAGGCCAAGGTTCAGGAAACAGACTCCTAAGCAGAAGACAGAGAGAAGAGTTCAGGAAGGTCAAGATGCCTGGAACTCGCGGAAAGGAATACAAGGAAGGAAGGCGCTGTGGCCAACAGGTGCAGAAATCTGAATGCAGGTTCTCTTGGCTTTTGGTCCTCGGAGTGAACTTGCATGAGCAAGGTAATACTCTTTTTTGAGTATTAACAATCAAAAAACAAAACAATACATACAATGAATTCAAAACTGTAACAATAACAGGGTTGGAAGAGAGGAATTTCATCCAGCAGAATGAAGGAAAATGACCAAAAAAAAAAAAAAAAAATGAAGAGAGGCTCAGTATGGGATAATTTCAGGAAATCTAAAATATATATAACTGAACTCCCAGAAGGGAAGACAAAACTAAACAACTGAAAAGCGACCAATTTCTTCCATACTGGATGAAAAATAGAAACTCACATATTCAAGAAGCTCAATGAATCCAAGAAAATAAACAATTAAAAATTCACTAAAGCACATCATAAACAAGTTGCTAAAAACCATCTATAAAAGGGAAACCCTAAAAAGCAAACATAAATAAAAGACATTTAATGTGGGGGGGGAGAGGGCAGAAGAACATCCTCTGATTTCTCATTGAAACAACCCAAAGCAAAAGAAAATGATACCTCCTTGATGTGCAAAGGAGGGGCGTCAACTTAGATTTCTATGTCCAGCAAAAACATACCCTTCAAAGAAAAGTGAAGATAAAATAAAAACATCTTCAGATGAACAAATTCTGAAAGAAGGCCCACACGCAGCACTATTAGACCTGCTAAAGGAAATAAATGAACACCTGAGCAACGTGGGAGCGAAGAGGCTGATGACTTCCCACCAACTCTCCTCCCAGTCGAAAATTCACCTACAACTTCAGAGTCCCCACTCCCCACTCCTTATCAGTGGGTTCTGCATCCAAGAATTCAACCAAGTGCAACACATGCTGCATGATTGAATCCGTGAAGGCAGAACTCCTGCTTATTAGTGAACCCATGTAGTTCAAACCTATTTTCTTCAAAGATCTACTGTAATTCAGGTAGAAGGAACAGATCTACATAGAAATAAAAACATTGGCAACGATATTTATGTGGATAAATATTTTTTTATCTTTCATTTCTTTAAAAGAAAATTGACATAAAAGCAAAGTATTGTAGGTTTCATTATATATACATAAGTATAACCTATGATAATAATACAAAAGACAGGAGGGAAGAAAAAAATCTGTTGTAAAGATTTTGTACTATAGGTGAAGTAGCAAAGCCTTAATTCATGGCAAACAGTAATAAATTAAGATGTACACTATAAACTACCCAAAGCAACAAATGAAATATACATGAGATGTAGATTATAAATCAAGAGATAAAATGGAATACTAATTTTTCATTTCATCAAAAAGAAAGCAGTAAACGACAAAGAATAAAAATCAAATGGGATTAACAGAAAATGTATAGCAAGATAGTAGACTTAAATCTGACCATAGTAATAATTATACTAACTTGTCAATAAATTAAAGACATAAAACATAAAGTCTGGGACTGTCAAAATTGGATTTAAAAAAAAAACCAAGCTGTGTGTTTACAGGTTACTCTAATCATAAAGATATGATACAAGTAAAGGGACAGAAACATACAT